TTAACTAAAAAAACGTCAGTAATACAGTATAATTACAAAAAGAAAAATAAGTTTTCGGTTGAATATAACCTATTTTAGAATCTCGAATAGAATGGAAACCGTTAACAATAAAATAAATTATTGCATTTCCATTCTCTTTATGACGTTGTAAACGAACAGTAATTTCCATATCGTATCGTTTGCTTGTAAAAATGAACTCCCTGCGGTATGCAGAGCTCATCAATATATATATATATATATATATATATATATATATATAGGTATATATTCTACAGATTTTGTATTACAGAATTGATTTAATCCGGTATGCTAAGTACACGGATCGATGTGAGTAGTGTGTTTTGACAGTTATCGAGCACTCATTCAAACGGTAATGACGGTTTTTTTTTTCAAACGACTTTCGTCGATGGATTTGGCGGGTAAACGGGCTAAGAGTGACGCAATAGGTTCCCGGTTCATCGAATATCCGTTATGCAACTGCCTTAAAGTGCACAATACTCAGCGCAAACAGAAGTGCCCATGGGAACACACACATGCACGCATATTTTAGACAATATATATACATATTTATATAAACTCTAAGTAGAAAACCCTATTAAACAAAGTTTTACAGTGTACATTTGCTTGTATAATTATTATAGCCATACTCACTCTGTGTGTATGTGTGTGTCAAACGAAATCAATTCCAATGTTAATATAATGCTGAACATTAATAACAATAATAAACGACTTGACATAAACAAAACTGCGTAATGAGGTTATTATTGACGAATGAGCTGTGGCGCATGTTAGGCGGTCTCCACTATTACTTTGACGATAACCAATATAAAACTAGAAAATTTTTCGGATTCCTGTATAATGCGTTTTTCATAATAGAAAATGCCATCGCTTCTTCCGTTGTTCTTAGCTGGGTTTCATAGCGCTTATGTGCAATAATTCCACTATGGTATTAAATTTTGTTTAACGCCGTTTCTAAATTATCTTTATATTATTTTTTGTAAATACTGTCTGAACTTAAATAGCTAAATTTTCGCAGTATTTTTTAATGTTGCATGGCGAGTGTATATAATATTATTAAAACTGTTGGCAAGCTCAGTTTATTATCCATATTGTGAATAGTTTCTCGTACCAAATATGACGTCTCGACAAAATAAACTGATAAAATTAATTTTGATTTTAACATCTTACGACGGACTACGTAAAACTTATCTCCGGCAAAATGTATTACTCGTCAAATTTTAAATAATTTACACTCAAGGACGAAAAACAGGAAATAAGTTAAAAACCAAGTATTTCACAATAATGTTTTGTTTAGTTTGGTACGAGGTAAACATTTTTTTGTATAAGTAATATAAATAGTAATAATAATGATAATATAAAATACAAGAACTAAGTAGCAAGTTTGCCGCGCCGAAGTTATTACGATAAAACTTTAAAAAGTTAAAAAAGGATAACTACTAAATAAAACTTAATGGTTACGAAAAAACAACATAATTTATCTAGACAGTACACTAAGGTATCTAGTTAATTTATTTTTAATCTCTACAAATTAAATCTCATTAATAAAATTTTTACCTACCGTACATTACAGCCTAGCATACTAATTATATTATTAACTTTTAAATTATTATTTACATATACTTCATTCATAATAAAATTGTCATAACTTACCGTCTTTTAAATCATAATTAATGTTATATAATAAAAACTTTCAGTTTTTCATCAAGAGTTTGCAGAAATTCAACTACTGAGTTCTTAATAAAGTTTATATTATAATATATTAGCTATGTATAAATAAATTCGGCTACTCAAGTTTTGTTATAAAAACGTCAGGCTATGATTTTTATTTTTGTGACTAAGTTCGTCTAAGTTTTGATTGCATTTTCTTTTAGCATTTAACTTGATGACTTTTTCTTAGACATAAAACGTTATTTGAAATTCTTTATAAACGTTAACAGATCCTTACATTAAGCAATTAAAATGTAAATTTTTGACATTACATTTTTATGCAAAGGGGTAGAGGAAATCATGTACAGTTGTTATTTCTGTTAAACCATGTTAGGGTTATGTACTGAAGACATAACTATTAGTGATAACATTTTAATGTTGTCACAAACTGCTGTAAAACATCACGGTTTTATATTTGGGATAAACATTCAAAATACACATTATATATATATATAGGTTTCTGAGTAATCGAAGTGTATAAAATTAGAAATGTCTATTATTGCCGTTTTACTCAATTTCGATTTACATCATTATTCAATTATTGAGCTGCTAAAAACAAATTGATAAAAATATAATTTGTAGTCTTTTGCACCAACTATACTTAATTATGTATAGTTTAACAAACTAAGTATAATTTAAATTATATTGTAAGCTAACTACTTAGTTAAATCTTGAAGATATGGTCAATATTATAGTACTTAGGTCGTATTGTTAAAAATTGTCTTAAGTTAATTTTTTTTTTTGTAAAATTCATAATAATATAACAATAATTTGTTAGAGTGAATAATGTTAGCAGTAGTATACATTCATTTTTGATGAGAAGTGTCAAACACTATTCCCAAGAGTTGTGTACCAACTACCCACCACCACTCTTATTAAATCGAATATTCAAATGAAGCTATAACCATTTGTCTTTGTGAAATGGGTGTCAACTGAATTCCTACACAGTCTTTTGTGCACCACTGAATGTTGATGTTTTGATTATGTATGTAAAGAGAAATAGAAATATTAAAATATATTTTAAATTTTGAGGGGTCGAAATTCGAATGAGTATATACAGAAGTTGCATTTTCTCGAAAAAACCTGATTCTATGGTTTAATTGATTTATTTATTTATTCTAGTTAACATGTCTATTCAATATGAAATTTCAGCCATCCATTTCACATGTAAATTAATTGAAAAAAAATACAGTCGTGGTGAGCGTCTGTGATGTAAAAAATATGTAGAAATAATTTATTAATTGTTATTTATTAATAATATGAGCGTGGTACTCGCGTGTAGTAGTTATTGGAATCCGACAATATAGTCAGTGACTCCGCGGTGGGAAGTTTCGGCTTTGGAAGTTTTACATAATAATTGGTAAAGGGGAAACTAATATTATTTACACCATGATTTTATCGAGGAAAAACACGCGTACCGCCGAGTTTATCAGGTGATTTATGTTGTCTAAACCGATCTCCAAACTTGTCCAAACAACGCACTACGGTAGTTAATTAGAATATTTCTATATATTATACTCGTACATGTATAAATTTACTCACACCCCAATCGAGTTTTATCTATAATTAATTTTTCAAAGTCTATCACAATATAAACGACACAGGATGCATCTTTTTTTTTTTTTGTTGCATGTTATTGTGTTGCAGTCATAATAGTCTCGTGAGGCCGAAATGCATAAAAAATCTAATCTCTTATGGCCTAAAAAAAATTTTAGTTGACGAATCTCTCGGCAGTATACAAAAATTATTTGTTTTATTAATTGCATTACCATTATTGTTATATTTTACGTTTTATACATACATATGTATTATATATATATATATATATATATATTCATTGCGATATGTATAGAAAAATAAATATCTGTCCCGGGTCAATTATTATGTCGTTTTTATGCGTTAACAAGGTAAGCCTTTTTAAAAAACAAATAAAAACAAATCATAGGAGAAACAATACCTTTTAAGTTCCGCAACGAAGTTAAAGTTTAATATAACTTTAAGTACACATACTATACAACGCACCCAATACTTATCTGTCAAACACAGTACTGCTTTTAAGGTCTCATATTATAATCAGTATTATATACATACTTCATATTATTATTACTGTACACACTAGTACTTGTCGGAATAAATCTGTATTCCTTGACGTATTCGCCTCGAGAAAAAACTTTAGTGTGGTGCAATTGAAATACTTTTCCATGGAAACGGTATTACCGTCTGCTATACACAAAAGATGTTCTTTGAGTTTCATTATAATCCGAATCCGAAGTGAACAGCGATGGAGATGTTTTATGTTGACGACTTACAGCAGTTATCCCTAAAACCCGTACACATATTCAATATTAAAGACGAGCAAATCTTTTCAGTAATCAAAAACTTTACAAACACGAGTATAATGTTTTCTTAGTTATCAGACAGTCTCTTGCAACCGAAATTTTCTCATACTTAATAACACGCTCTCATTTTTCAAAGAGTTTTGTTATGCTATCACACGGAATCTTAATACAGACTAGTTTGTTGTGAATGTCATAAACTAAAATAGGCATAAAATTTGTTTGTAGTTCTCTAGTTTAACATGATTAAAGTAACTATTTTTTTTTAAATGATTAAAGCTTAGCTGAAGTTGAAAGTTAAATTTTTTTTTATTCATTAAGTTTAAGATTTATTCTAAAACTACCAATTTTTGTTTTATAATTTTGAATTGTTTTGTCAACCTGTAATTTTATAATATTATCTATTTTCTAATAAGAAGTTAAATTTACGATAGTAAATATCACAACAGAGATTAAAATATGTTTTTATGACATAAATAAAAAATACTTTTTTTTACAAAAACCTAATATTATTTTACTTTGTCACATGTTCCTAATTTTAAACACCAGAGATATTATAATTACTTCAAAGGATCATCGATCCTTTGTTATTCTTTTTTTTTATAATTTTCTGAGTAACTTTGTTTTTTTTTTTTTTTTAAAGCAGTTCGTAAAGTATTTACGTTTTAATAACGCTAATTTGTAACACCAGTAAACTAATAAATTAAAAAATACATAAATATATAACCATGTGAATATATTTTGTCTTTACAACTTAATTGAAATGTTTCGTACATATTATAATTATTCAATTACCATTTGGATATTGGACATTGGGTCGCATTTTTATAAACCTTCGTAAGAGGTACCTAGGAACATGCCTTATATGAAATATTCAGTAGAAAATTTGATGTAAAAATCATTATTGTGCTGATACAATTGTCGATTATTCTACAGGTGGTCAGTTGCGACGGATCTGTTGGCGGACAAAAGAGATTTGACGGATGTGGTGTATGTGGAGGCGACAACAGCACATGTCGTTTGGTTTCGGGAATTTTCACAAGGCCTGATATGCCAGCAGGCTATAATCTGATCACTCGACTGCCAAAGTCAGCTTGCAACATCACCATTAGCGAACTCAAATCATCAGCCAACAGTATAGGTATATAATATTAATGTTTAAAATAACAATAGCAATTTTGTACCATGGGTCTGAAATTAAAAATCTTCCTTTTATAAGTGAGATTTTAATTTTTTTTTTCTAAAAGCTATTGTGCTATGTTTTTTAACAAAACTCATCAAAATTATTTTAATTATTTTTCCTGTGAGTGTCATTTTTCTACTCATTATAAAAGTTGTTTTGCATTTAAATGTTTAGTGGATTAAATCCTAATTCAATTTAGCAATCTGCGTTGGGGCGGACTAAATTAATTTTAGTAAATAATTAATTTTAAGTGTTTGGGTACGAAAAAAACCATTTATAGCAGTTAAAATTTCATTTTTAATCGCCTTATCTCAACAATACTTAATATTTTTTTCAGTATGTCTCATATTTTTATGAATATAACATAAAGATTATAAATAACGTTTAAACAACAAAATTTGGAATAATTTACAAAAACTATAATTTTTACTTTTATTTATTGAATAATAGTAATTAACTTTTAAACCAATTCATTTGTTATTTTTTAAGCTTTAAAACACACGAGTGGTAATTATATTTTAAATGGGAACTGGTCAAATAATTGGCCTGGAGACTACGCTGGAGCAGGCACAGTGTTCACATACAGAAAAGAAAATGGAAATTACGGGGAAGCTGTGTTTGCGCCAGGTCCTTTAACAGAATCTGTAGATCTTATTGTAAGTATCTATTAGATAAATTTATATGTTACATTTAATAATTAATGCTTATATAATTACTGTCTTGTATGTACATTGAAGCTTGTATCCAGATATATGAATACAGGTATAAAGTATGAATACAAATTACCATTGGATGTTCCCGTAGAAGAATCGATGGCACCGCCTTTGATCAGACACCATTCACATATGTCTTCTCATTTTAGTAAGTTTAATGATAAGTTAATGTATTTGAGCTTATTGAAAGCATAACCCACACAGCAGTTATTTAGAAATATCTGTATTTCCTTAACTTTCATTTTAGGGTTGACGAAAAATATTACATATACAACTTTTATGACAACAATTCATTTATAATTTTTAAATATATAATTTTTATATTGTTACAATATTTGATTTCAAATTATGATCTAAAAACATTTAAACAATACTAATAAATCTTATTATTAATTTTTTTAGAAATATTTTATTGCTTTAAGGATTTCAAAAAACGACTCTGGGGTTATTCAGGGTTACATTTTTGAAGAAAGACATTTATTATGTTATGGCAAAACGCAGTTGTACTGTAACTTAAACCAATATGTATTCATTGTCGAAGATTAAACGTTAAATAATACTCGCTTATCTCGAAAGAATAAAAAAATAATTAAGTTACTTATCCTTTTTCTGCCAAACATTACACAATAAATATGGAGTATTATTAGATTTTTAGTAAATACTTGATTTATTATAATTTATTTATTGGTATAGGCAATCGCTTGTCATTTGGCGAAGAAACCCCTATTACAGAAAAGACATTTATTGACAACGATGATAAGTAAAGATCAGCATTTATTCTTATGATGAGTACAATAAATTTCATTAAATTTTGATTCGTTTTTGATTTAGGAATCTAAGTATAGACCAACCGCGTGGAACCGGTTTTGAGTCTCAAGGATTCATTGGAGACGAAGCGGCCAAACCACATATTATAAAAGCTAGAAGAAAGAAATTCATTTGGAAATTGACCGGCTACTCCGAGTGTTCTAAAACGTGTGGTGGTGGTAAGTTATAAAATCGAGTGAATTACCCTTTTGTGTTTCCGAAAAAATGATTAAACAACTGCTATTGTAGGAATCCAAACATCGACTATGGTATGCATCAAAGAGCACAATCAACAACAGCAAATTGTGTCCGACAAACGATGCCACGGGTTAGATAAACCGCAACCACAAGTACTTAGGTGCAATATAAAACCCTGCGAGGCGCAGTAAGTATAACACCGAAAACACAAATTTAGTAACGTTTTCAGCAGTATTCAAATCGAAGCAAGCGCGAAATCGATATAGTTTGGGATGTTAACTCTTCAAGTTCTTACAGATGGACAATTAGCGACTGGAGTGCTTGTTCGGTGAGCTGTGGGTTAGGGATTCAGACTAGGGAAATCGCGTGCAAACAGCAAATCAGCTCGACTCTAGTTATGAACGTGCCCGAGTCAATGTGTTCAACTTCGATTCCGACTAACGTTATACTGTCAAAAGCATGTCAAAAACCACCTTGCGAAATCACGTCCAACGACGGTAACTCGCATTGGAACGCAGGTCCTTGGTCCAAAGTATGTTTAACTATTTCCTCATAATACAGTATAGTACGTTTAATTGGCTTTTTTTTTTTTAATTTATTTCATTGCAGTGTTCGACCGCTTGTGGTATAGGTATTAAATCCAGATCCGTCAGGTGTACTTCGGAGGACGAATCCAATTGCCGGGCCAGTGAAAAGCCAGCTCATCAGGGCACTTGCGATATGGGGCCCTGTGCTCTAGCCTTGTCTAACGCCGTTGGTTCGTGGATTTTATCAGAATGGTCCCAGGTGAGTATTTTTGTATTAATGTGAAGTGATGCAGTTTTTAACCTATTAGCGGTATGATTTCGCAGTGTTCCGAAACATGTGGCACAGGAATGCAGACTAGAAAAGCATACTGTTCGTTGGGCATCGACCGTGAAAACGCTTGCGATCAATCGGTTAAACCAGAAATTTCAAGAGCCTGTTTAAGTGACAAAGATTGCAACGGCCTTTGGTTTTCTGGTCCGTGGTCTCAAGTAAGAACAAAGTCGTTAATAATAGCAAAAATTAATACATAAAAAACTTCTTTTGCTTTGCAAACAATTTTAAGCGTGGTAATTTCACAAAACCCGTTAAACTAATTCTATACAAGTCGTAGTAATATACTCAATTAAAATACAATCTGTAGACATGCATTTAAAATATAAATATTCGCTGGGAAAGTTCTTGAGAAATCGAAACTTAATATGAAAATGTATAAAATTCAAAAACTTCGAATAAACACGACATTTTGATTTTTATAGATTTCCAAGTTCAATATTTGTTTAATTTAAATCTTTATTGTTCTATATATTTTCTACTTAAACATTGTGTTATTAGTTTTGCATTTTTTTAACACTTAAACATAATACCATCTATTGTTTTTTTTTTGTAAATGTGAACTTAAAGGTTCCACCCCTACTTGAAGTGTTCAAATCTATGAAAAATCAATGTTTTTTCGACTCGACCATAAATTATATTTCGCTCCTAGTGTTCGGACAAATGTGGCTGGGGCAATCAAACGAGAGCTGTAGCTTGCGTGTCTTACAATCAAAAAGAATGGAAGGTCGTCGCCGACGGACAATGCGCGGGCAAAGAAAAACCATCAACGTCCATGTCGTGTTTTACTGAAAATTGCGGCTCGATGTGGTTTACTTCGGATTGGTTGCCGGTACAGCTTCAATATAAATTCTATTATCATTTGTAGCACATAATAGATGACTTATAGAACTTTCCTTTTTGATTCATATAGTGTTCAAGGACTTGCGACTTGGGCGTTCAAAAAAGAGACGTGAAATGTCTTAACGAATTGTTGAAGCCTTCGCTTGACTGCGACGAATCAAACAAACCACAGGCAAGACGTTCGTGTAACGTTAACACGTGCAACAATAGTAACACAGGTAAACAATAAAATCCCTTTGAGTTCTACCCTTTGAGAAAAAGCTCTCAAGAGTCGCTGGTCGTTTTGTCAGTAAATGTTTTCATCATAACGAGGGAGTATTATTAGCTGACTTGACAGCTCTTTGTAATGGAAATTTAAAATCACCATTATTTTTTTCCTGCATCATAATCGTTACTCTAAAAAAAAAATGTCATATTTTCCAGTACAAGTGACAAGCGAGGAAAGTCGATTGGAAAGGGATAACAAACCGCTGAACACTAGTACTCAACCGGCAAACATGCAAGGTTAGTGTTTGTAATTTGAAATCAAATTGTTTCACGTTTGCATATTACTATACTGTTGATAATTAAATAATTTATAGCCGTCGATCCAAAGTGCGTGGACTTACAACTCAAAAACTGTAACTTCGTTGCACAGGCCAGATTGTGTTCGTACAAGTACTACAAAGTTTCGTGTTGCAATTCGTGTCGCAATAAAGCTTAAGTACACGAGCAAATGAGATATAAGTATAAATTGCAGTTCGGTTTAGAATATTAGAAGTAATTCAAGTTTAGTTGTTATAGCCGGTAGCTTGTCTGTCTAGTTTTACTTAGGTATCTAACGTAGACGTATCCGTTATTTTATTAGATTCCGACCTAACCTCAAACGACTTGTGGAGTTATGTTTCTGAAAAGTTTTGCTATAATATATGAATATATTAGGATACATTTTTCATAAATCTAGAATATTATTGATTATTATTATTATTTTTTTTTTTTATTGTGATAACAATATTTGTAAACGTAAGTATTATTTTATTTTGTACATAACATTTAAAAACGTTAATGATCGTTTGATTTGCAAAAAGAGACTAAAAACAAATGCGAAAATTCAAATATTTAGAAATAGTTATTTAATAAATCTTTATAATATTAGATGAATACAATTTTGCCAGTATTTCAATTAATTGAGTTAAATCCAAAACGTTTTGTGTACATTTTATGTTAGCATAACTTCGCTGCGGATGTAATTAAATGTAAGCATAGGTATTATTATTTAGTTTGTTAATTATTGTTAAAGTATAGCGTTTTTAATCACGACCTAAGATAACGATTATCATAGATACTCGTGGTTACACTACTTATAATTACTATTATAGATTAGGTGCTCTAGGTACAGATAAAACATTTAATTATTAAAAGTCAATAGTTATTTAACACTACGAAGCAAATTTTAACTACTTATCTAGCTTATATTTAATAATATAAGCGTGTTAAAAAAGCCGTACCATAAGATATAAAAATAAGCAAACTAGTTGCGTATAATATAATTGCACGTGTAAAAATAGGAATATTCGTATTATTTTATTATTGTTCCTATATTTTAATTACGTTATAATAAACTTAATGTCTTTTTTTACTTTAGATTGTAAAATTACACAAAATATGGCATTGTCTTAAAACGTAATTATTATTATAAAATTAATGTATTTAAATAATAATATTTATTTTGATTTCAGCCTCATTAAAAAAAAAAAAAAATTAAATAGGTATCTAATTTGTATTTTGTATCATCCTTGTGTTTTTCTCCTACTTGTATTTATAGTGTACCTAGTCATAACGTTCGACGCGCATTACAAAATGTATAAAAGGATGATTCCAGACGCCGACAGACAAGACGTTGCCTCTTACTAGGTTTTATAATTATTTTTCGCCTAAAAATCATCGGATAACTTATTTTCCACCAGACAGAGGCGATTTGAAAATATAAATAAAACAAATTGACCACCGCTGTGAGAAGTGATTTCCGTTGGATTTATTCACACCTAAAACAGACTATAAACAACTCCCATTAAAAGAAGTCATTTTCGGGGGTAGTTTTGTCGCGTAACAGTCGCCCTGCCATTTAAAAAAGGTAGTTGCATTTTTTTTTTTTCATTAAAACAAAAATATATTGTTTGTGCGTGAGAAAAACAATAAAAAATAGGGAAATTATTTTTAAATAGAATTTTTCCAAAGAAATACGTTAATCGATGGATCGTCGTTGGCCACCGGTGATCTCGGTGGAATGTCTCATTATTAATACAGTACATACATTTATGGACTATGTCATACCTATACAATTTTCATCCATTATAAAGAAAGTTCTTAACAATTAAGTTCTATATAATCGTGCATCCACCGTTATTATCACATTCAGTGAGCAAAACAAAAATCTTCTTAACAAAATGCTACTTTTTTAGACTGTTTATACCTACGTTTAATTTCATTCCGTTTGAACTAGAATCGGTGTGCTTTTAAAATATTATATGGCAATTTCGTGATTGGTTGGTGGTTGTTCGTGTTATTCACATTTTTCGTATTGCCGTGGAACATTTTTTTCCGACCGTCGACCAGAGATAATTCAGAACTGGAGTCCGTTTTAAGAAAATATCTCTTTTTCTATCTCCTGTAGCGCTCGCTTGTCTTTGGAATTGACAATTGTCTGATCATTAATGTCACAAACACTCCGTTTGAGTTGTTCGATGTTCGCAAATGGGATAAACTAGAAAAACTACTGACAAATTAAATAACAGTGTCAAAAAAGAAAAACTTTTGAAACATTTGACATTGTGACAATCAATTATTGGGAACTAACTAACAATTGAGCTTTAAATTTAATTTTTAGTATTTGGATTTTGGGGTGGATACGATAAGGGTTGATCTTCTATAATGATTTTTTGCCGTTGCTTTCTTCACATAGTAATAAAAAATTTAGTTAAAATATTTTCTAGATACCTATTGACTATTGATTTATTCAAACAATATAGCAATCTGAAAATATTATACGGTGCGAGTGTTATTTTTGTATTTTTTAAAAAGTTCGGCTACACATTTAACGAAAATAGCGATCCCCATTTTAATATACAATATAATAAATATATCAACCAGTCATAGCACCTGACCACTGTCAATTGTAATTTGTGGTGTAAGTTCTCTAAGTTCAGCTGTTAAGGAGATATCGTCTAGTTAGAACTTGGACACAAAAATTGAAACATTTCCTTTTCAGCTCCGCATAGCTATTATGAACTAATTTCAGTTAGTTAAGTTAATAAGGGATTTTTATACAAGTTTCATCAAAGAAATGCTCTAAATCTAGCTCAGCGAAATGTCCGAAGTAATTCAAAAGTAATTTCTATTCAATCTTAATCGTTTTTTATTTAAATATGGTCACCCTTTTAAGCTGGCCACTGGGTTATTATTTATGCCGCCCTGCCGTTTGAACTTTGAAGGTTCACGCGGTCATGTCTGATGTCCATCGAGAAAACAGTGACAATGATGTACCCGGTCAATCGTTTTAAAAAGGTATATCAATCATTCCCCTGTTGGCATATTAGACGAATAGTATTGATAAGCAACAATAACTGGTAGATTGCGCCACACGATATTGCCTGCCAACGAAAAGTGATTAGGTATTTTGTTATTGATTATAAAGTAACATGTGTATGTGTATGACGTGTATGTGTATGTGTGTGATACTAATATCTTATATCACAGTAAACTAAAAAGCGTTATAATATTATTCTGTGGTATTATTATCAATTATTATTATTCATTACCGGCCTTGCTGTATTCAGCGAGCACCTATGTCGGAAAGCCACGTAAAAATTGTTGCGTATGTTATTTTTGTACAATTTTGAACAGTTTGTTGTATAAAATATCTGTATAATCGTTCAGTTAACGATGGAGAAGTATCTTTTTTTTTTACTGTCGATACAATTGTGTTTTTCGCTGGATTTTATACCGCCCACTTTGCCTGTTCCGGGAGGCTCGGGGTATAATGCTCCTTGTAAAAGTTGTCGGGCTATGGTCGAGTCATTTACAAAGGTAATTATCGCATTGTTCGGTTTTTAACTTACCTTTGTGACTTTGTGTGTAAATGTTGGTGGTATAGGGCATGAAAAAAACAGAAAAATTAAAATATGGCGGAGGTAATACAGCTTGGGAAGAAGCAAACCTACGGACCTATAAACGCAGTGAAGTACGTTTTGTCGAAATCCACGACTCCGTCTGTCATGAAGTCTCAACATCACAAGATCACGTAAGTTATAATTAGTAAACTTATAATTTTTAATGTACTCTGTATCATGAGACAACGTTACTGCACAGGCCCATACGAGAATAATGTGTTCTGGTCTGCGCGCAGTACCGTTATCCCGTGAGACAGGGTATAAATGTATTAAATAGATATCAATAATTTTACTAAATAAAATGTATGTATTGTTAAATAGTGCTTTCATTTGGCAGAAGAACATGAACACTTATTAAAAGAATGGTTTACAGATATCCACGATCCAAACGATTTAGACAAAAGTGATTTATATAGCTGGTTGTGCATTGAAAATATGAAGGTTTGCTGTTCAGCCGGACACTATGGTCCTGACTGTAAGCCATGCAAAGGTTTAGAAAATAAAGATGAACAGTCTGTCACTATTTGTAACGATCATGGATCATGCAAGGTAGGTATAATACAATTAAATATTTTTAGGCGTACTGTGTTGAAAATAAAATCATTTTTTTAAAATTAGGGCGACGGTACCCGTAAAGGTGACGGCACTTGTAAATGTTGGAGAGGCTATCTTGGCGAGTTTTGTGAAAATTGTGATAACGGTTACTACAAGGAGAAGATGGAAAATGGCAGTACTTCCTGTTTACCTTGTGATAAGTCATGTGGACAGAATGGTTGTACGGGTTCAGGATCAAAAAGTATAATCGCAAAATTTATATTTTTGTTTTATGTGTATATATATATATTACATATATTTTATTGTTTTTTTAAAGGCTGTAAAGATTGTAAAGTAGGATGGATTTATCTTGGCGAAGACAACGGATGTACTGATGTGAATGAGTGTTTAGAAGAACCTGAAATCAGCGACGGTGTAATAAAAGGCATTTGTGAGGTTAATGAATTTTGTGTTAATACTCCAGGGTCCTATTCTTGCCTAAGTGAGTTCAACATATTAAGTTTTAAATATTGTGTTCATTTCTTATAAAATTTGTATTAATGTACTATTATTACTTATATTATAGAATGTGACCCAGCGTGTAGAGCATGTTCTGGAGATGGAGCCGACATGTGTCTTGGTTGTGCAAAGGGATATACATTTGACAGTACTCAGAAAAAATGCATAGGTAACAACTTTTTATCTAAGAACTAAAAATGATCTATTTTTGAAGGGTGATCAACTTACATAAGTTTCTCTGTTAATAATTTTTTTTTTTGTGTTTTTGTGTAACATTTACGTGCACCTAAATAAGTTATTTGTAAAATAATAAATTAAACTTGTTCCTTGGCCTCGTCTCTAACTATACTAACATAGGATTTCTGAAATTTTGATATAACATGGAACATGTTTTAAATAATTAAAAAATTTAACAAGTGTATAGGAATCCGGCCAAAATAGCGAGTGTAAAAACAGTATTGTAGTTGCTAAAACAATTATGCAAAAATTAAAAATTAATATAAAATAAATTAATATTGTTAGGTTTCCTCCTTTATGTCGGTCTTCCAATGTAATTATCCTCAAAATAATCTAATACTTTAATTTTTTGTATTTTTAAAAAATAATTTGTCATAACCCAGTTATGAACAATTATAAAATTTGTTGAAAAATATTGCTTTACATTATTCATAAATAAATAAATTAAATTTAAAAATGTAAATTCACCCATCATCTTTTACATAATTTAATGCTAGCAATCACCCAAATGTTTGTTTAATAGTTTTTAATTGTTTTGATATAATTAAAGAGTGTCAATCAATCTATTATTATTTATTTAAAAAGGTAACTAAAAAAATTTAATTTTGGAGTTACTATAACATTCATGAACAAATAATTACACAAAAAGAAAATTTTAAAAATGGTTTTATTGTTAATTATTATCACCTAATCACTTTACTATTTTCGAGTCGCTGATATTTTGATATTAAGGGTTAGACCCTAGTGTTCAACAAAAATGTTAACATATTTTGTTAATAGGTCATCGCTAAAACTTGATCCATGTTACAAAAGTACAAGTTACAATATTTCCAAATAAAAAAAAAATATTAAATTGATCACCCAACAATTTGTTTTTAGTTAGAAATGGCTAGAATTTTGTAAAAAAAAAAAACAGTTTGATTTTATTGCTTTTGCACAAGTATGATGCAACAATATGTTATGCTTATATTTCTTTATCGCATGATTACAGCTTTAGTAGATAACGAAATAGTTAATGACGTTGAAAAAGAAGTTGAAGTATCTGAGTAAGTAACAGTTGTACGATATGCTAGTTTTAATTGCTTTTCTGAAGCGCTTAATTTATGATAGAAATTGTAAAATAAATGCATTCATTTATGTTTTGTTTGAATTGTTATAGTGAACAGAGGAAGCTGGAGCTCTAGCGATGCAATGAACCGTTATTTCGTATACTTGGGACTCGGAGTGACTACTATTATAATATTCAAAATGAATCCTGCAATTGCAAGTATAGTTGGAGCTGTTATCGGTGTTTATATTTCCAGTGCTGAGTATTACATGTATGGTAGGGAATTGATGCACCTTTAGGTATTTTTAAGAGTTCATTTAAAATTTTTCTTTTATCTATTTCCCACCGTATAGTCATTATGTTAATAAAACATACCATGTAGTGTTTGTAAATTTAAGTTTCAAGGCTGATTATTGTGTGTAGGCTTTCATTAATTAAGTGTTTTTTTTTGTTCGTTTTGTTTTTTGTATTATACAAAAAAAAAAAAAAATTATATATACCAAATGAGTGTTAGTTGCGTTGTGATATTAAACTAAATCTTCTAAAATTAATCAGTCGGTAATTTATTTTTATGTTATGACTATACAACAAATTTATCTTAAATAAAATGTATGTATAATATAATTTATAATACAATTATTCCATAAAATAAAACTAGTAATATTATTTAATCGCTGTTTATTTATGAAACTTGATTATAGTAGTTTGGGCCAAATGTGCCTCATTCTTTTTTGGTCAATACTAATGATACAATTTTTGGGAATCAACGACCAAAAAAAAAAAATTCACATATACATATTTTAGTAACTATTATAATTTATACATCCACGTCAATTTTACATTTCCTAATTAGGTTTTAATGTATAAACATTTGCGTGACATTTTTTATTGCTTATCCTAATTTTTTAATAGAAAAAAATAACATAATTTTGTATAATATATGGATGGCAACTCTTTTTCTCTAAATGATGTTTTGTCCAATAAAAAAGACTATTGTCCTAGAAGTTTAATTATTTTAATTTTTGAAAGTTATCTTGGCTAGAACAATTTTTTATAGCCCAAAATAATATTGTTGGGTTTATTTTTTGCAATTAGGTTTTATTTTATAAAATATATTATGCTTTATAAGCATTAAAGGGGATGTTAATATTTACTATTAAGAGCTCTTAATTATTGTACTTAAAAATAAGTAAGGAGAGAAAATTATAAGTGAAATTAGAGCAAAGAATGTTTACATAGAATTATAAATTATTAATTTATAATAATATATACAGAGTGACCCACTCAATATCTCAAACTTTAATGTTTTTAACCTTCTTCTAAATTAATTATTTTTATATCAAATTAAATGGTGATGTATATAATTTATCAAATTTTGAAATAAAGAATAATTTACTAAATATTTTGACTGATTCTGATCAGTTTTCCACAAATTATTTTTAAAGTTTTTTAAGTTTAGGACGGGAGGGAAGGTGGAGGGCAGTATTACTTTTATCAACCACACTTCCCATCCCGTCCGAAACTTTAATAACTTAAGTTATAATACAATTAATGAATCAAAACAGGATATTGGCCATTCAAAATTGTTAGTATATTATTCTTCGTGTAAAAAGTTAATAAACTGTATTCGTTATCATTTAAGTTTCAAATGTTGATATAAAAATAATAAACTATAAAGGGGGTTAAAGTATCACTTCTTCGGTCTTGTTTAAAATGTTAGGAAATATAGGTATTATTTGCAAGTATTATTACTATAGTACGAGTACCACTAATCTACTTTAAAGACTGCTATTAATCTGGTATTGGGTAACGTCATCAGTGGTTGGCATTACCCCAATTTTTGGCAATATAGTGTTTTTTTAAATATCAGATAGTCGGTAGAATATCAAGATATTTTATACCGTTCAGATAAATTATTTATACAAAATTCATTGAAAAAATGTAAACAATTTTATCTGATACAAAATAAAACACTGCATTGCCAAAGACTGGGGATTATAGCGTTAATCACTGGTGTCGTCACCTGAGGTATAATAATTTTAATATTTTTTTGCTTGTGATTTACTTCAGTATAATTATTTTACATAATACATTATTATAGTATTCATAATTACTGTTGTATCTCAAAAGTGTAATATTTTAATACACGATGATTCCTAATCAGTATTTGATAATCTGCACTGTATATTATTATTATTATTTATATACATAGATATTGTTCGTGTCAATTATTATTGGTATGTCTAAATCGATAAAACACGGAAATTCCAGGGCTATATATTATTATTTCAGATTGAGTAACGTTCATATTATTTTAAAATCAGCGTTGAGTAGTAGTACCGTGTGTAAGGTGAACTTCGTATAAACACAATCTAAAAATCTGCTAATTTGATCGTTTAGTGCGCTGAACCATAAGACAAAATTGCGCTAACCTGATTTCGTGCATGTCGATTAAATGCACAATCACCTTCAATGTATTCGCCAGAAAATAAAGACCTCAAGTTCAATGAACGTTTGAACCAATGTGTGCATTCAAATTTCAATAAGTTCATCATACAATCCCGCAAGTGAGTGGCTTTGATTTGAAAATATAATTTCTTTTTACACGTCTTTTGCATAATCGATGACTTTACAGTTTAACAACCCGCTTTTTTACCTAAAAATAAACATTGGAGTTGTACGGTCAGGTATTAACATATTAAGTTACACTTTGTATGTTCTAATGGTTGTAATGTTGATCAACCTAAATAAAAGGATCAATACTATAGTAACTAAGCTTAAATACTATAAGCAAAACAAGTTTATTGCTTATTTTACGGAAAGTTATTAAACTTTTAAGGTTATATAGAACTGGCCAATCTTCTTTGCTCTTCTAGATTGGCCACTTTTAATTAGACATTTTGTTGTCATTCATCAATTACCCGTGTCTTTTATTTTCTATTCGAAATTTTGTTTTTACAGCGTCATCGTACCATATCGCAAAAAAATTAATAAATTCATTTTTATAAATGTATTATTTATAAAATAAGTATACGTAGTTCTATAGTATGGTGTACACGATATTTAAATGTAAAGACTTTGTATGTATTTTTAAATACGTTTCGCGTGAAGGAATAATATTATAACTAAACCGCAATTGCACACAATAGGTAGGGTATATTCTGGTATGTATTGAGTTTTGGTTTTGAAATTGTCATCTCTCTAATAGTCCCCCTAGATAGTATGCCACTGTAAAATAACTGTTGTTATATTTTTAACTTGGTACCTAATCAATGAACGTAATGATTTATAATGGCATATTATTCTGTTTTGGCGGCAAGCATCTACCGTGGCCTTTCTTTTAGAACGTTTTAATCGAAAAAGACTAACTAGATTTGTCTAAAATAGGAGAAATAACACAAGTAGGTATTTATATTGAACTGAACCGTGTTATTACGGTTGATCCGTAGGTCCGGTTTACAGCCTTATTGTGATTTGTGCGTACTGCTGTCATAAATTTCCTGTTTTCTTTTTTTTCAGTCAATTGGAATAAAACATTTCTCATCGTTATTCACTTTTTTCCTGTCTAAATGAAATTAAAACTAATCGCGGAATTATTGCGTTTCACTTTGTAGGTAGTTCTCTTCTAGTGTATCGATTTTGTCAATTGTTTGTTTAAGCACAATAATATGCTACGACGTTCATCATCCTCATTAGTCATGTTACAATTTACCATATAACTCATGTTTAAGTTGTTGTAATATGTATAATATATAATATATATATATATATATATATATATATATTAATTTGTGTATGAAATTTAAATTTTTTAGCTTCGCGTTAAAGCTATAAAAATAAAGTTTCATTTCTTTGTCTGAACTTTTTAAATTTAATCTACAATGTAGATAACGCTTATCACTGAACGGATTAAATTTTTTTTTTATTAGATGATATTTACAAATTTGATATCAAATCCCGATTTTCAAAATTCTGTGTCTGACTTGTCATTTTTTGAAACTATTTAAAAAATTAAAACCAATTAAATAGATTTTGTTCAGCAAAAATCTCATTCGGAAAATGGTTTAATTATCAATTAACTATTACACATGTTGTAATAGTATAAAGTATGTAAATTTATGGCGCTTTTATTCGGCTATTATGTTACTAGCACTTACTTTTGAGCTTGATACAGAGTGATAGGAAAAAACAAAATGGAGAATTTAATTAGATCGAAATAAATTTGGTAAATGGCGTCAATGTATTATAAGTAGAGGTTAATGTCCATCGCATAGCACAATTGACAATTCCCACCATTCCCGTTTGACTTGCCTATTTTTTACAGCAACGTTCATTAAAAAAAAAAAACACCAACTATGCATTATCTGAGTAAGTATGCATATCGCACGAAAACTAGATACTAAGGATTTGGAATATTTATGCACCTAATAATATAATAAGTATGTGTTTTACGAGTTAACATTTTTACCTTCTTTCTAAGTATTAAAAATGTTAGGCTATCCTTTCAAAAATGTATAAACACGCTGTGAAGGCTTTTATTCGATTAATCGTTCAAGCTTGATCAAGACTTGTATTTTTGTATTAGTCCGTGGTCATGTAAACCATTAATAATTTGGTCGTTTAATCAAGTGTAATTAATTAACTCGTTCTCCATGAAAAAAATCCATACAAACATAAGTATGACGTTAAATAATAATAATAATAAAAAAATACATGATTATTGTCGACAAGAAAAAAAAGTTACAAAGTCATGTCCAAGTACTTATTTACAAATCTTTTGAATTGTTTTACTTTTAGAAAATAAGGGATGTAAAAATCATATCTGCAAAGACCCGTTCAGTTAATTTTCGTACCCCATAACTAGGTTATTATAAAAGCTTTAACTATGAGTTGTACGAATTGTAATAGGCAAATTTATCAAAAATAATTCCACTGCGCGAAACAAACTTCCTTTTTTATATAATAATTAATATGTATGTAATATAATATAATTAAGTAGATTGTTTTCTTTTTGAGCCAATAGTTTATTGCATTGTTGGGCAATTAATTCATACGTAATTATTACACAGTATAGTAATTTCGCTTAAATAAGGAGAGGGGGGTGCTTAAACACTGGGAATATAAGAAAATACCACCTCTTCACTACTTATGATAGAAAACACAAACCATTTTTGGAGGTGCTAATTCCAGACCCCTAGGGGAGCTAAGCACTCCCAACCTCCCTTGGAATTGTGCCTATGTTGTTATCTGGGTTTCGTCATACTACACACTGGGCCCGTTGGATGTTGTTGTTAGTTTGTGAAGTTAAAACCGTCAAGATGGATATTGATTATTTAGTTGAAGTATTGGCCGTCATCGTAACTCGTAAGAATAATATTACTGCAGACCTTCAGTTTTGTCTTATTAAATTTAACAATAAAATATGAACACCACTTATAATAAGGGTGGTAATACGATATTGAAGCTTGACCAACCCGTACAAACAGCGTATGATAATAATATGATATTTTATCAGCGACATTTCCTGTTTCCTCTGACCCAAAAGAGCTGGGATAAGATTGATGGGAAAGAATCGTTCTGACAGGTTGCCATCAAACTAAGGGGACAAGCAAAAAACAAATGATACGAAACGCTATACATATTATTCAATGTCGGTTTACATACCATTTCAATAATAATAGTAGATATACGGTAAATTGGCTTTTTTTACGTGAAACGACCGATGCGAAATCGTTTTACTAACAGTAGGCATTTTCATTATTAGCGGTATACTGAACGAACACCTAGGTACGATTAAGTATACATATTTATTATTTTCTCTTTTGACCGTGTTTCTTCCCCAGCCCTTCTTCCATCAGTATTGCAGTTTCATTATTCATACCGTTGATATAATACAGACACATAAGGGGTAGTGGTTGTGGCGGTGGTGGCGCCCACTAAAAAAAAGGGGATTCGTGTGTGTGTGTATATATTGTTGTATACATTGTAACCCGTCAACGGTGGTTCACCTGGATACCTTGGGGAACCCCCGGTCTGTACCGAGGGACCCTGCACGTCTCACTCCCCTAAAAGTGCACGCTGTGACAAAAAAAAAACCCGCACCCCTGTGTACTGTGTCTCTAATACTATTCGCGTGACTAGAGGTAGTTAAAATAAGTTTGGTATTATAAAATTAAAAAATATTATTATTCGAGACGGTTGCAGTTTACAATACACTATTGTATCTAATCGTGGCAATCTATGAATTAGGCAACTCGCCGATATTTTAATAAAGGTTATGTATCTTTTATTAAAATAAAATAATAACGGTATGAGGTATCGGCATTCGGCAAGTCAAACAAGCGCAGCGTAACGGTTAATGGCGGTCGGAAGGTTTTGTTTTAGAGAAGATCAATGCAGACCGTCTATTCAATATAATATTGTTTTATGGTTTTAGTGAACGGATGCGAAGGAACCACAGTAAACAACCAAAACCACGTGACCGGTAGCGTTTAGGCGATGGATTCATGTCGATTGTCATTTGTCGACAATTTGAACGTCATGGCCTACCCATTTCCTATATTATATTATACTCGACTGTTGACTACTTAAGCACTATTGTGGTGTTTGAAAATATTTTTGTTAGCACTGTAACTAATGTTGTCAATGGGAGTAAAATTGAGAATTAATAACGAATAACAACTAAAACAAAACGAAAGTAATACAAATATATATATATATATATATATGTATATATTTATCAATATTTTATTAGAATAAATCACAACAAAAAAAATTCAAATAAAAATGTATTTGTTTAGGTACACTTTCTCCTTAAGTAATTGCCTATATATAGGGTAAAATACTAATAAACAAAATTATTCGAGTTATATTATTTGTTTATTGCATTGAGGGGAATAATAGCAGAGGGCGATAACCACTGGACTACATTAGTCATAGAGATATGGACTGCAGATCATATTGTGAACTAAAAAGAAAAGCGGAGAAGCGTCAGGAGTGAAACATTTCTGCCAACCAGCCTTTGGTTAAAAGACCAAAAAAAATTGTTTAATCAAGTTCATAAAAATAAAAATAATCTTTTATTTTTTCTATCGAATAATGTCCAACTCAGTTGTCAATTAGTATTGCATCTGTGTAGAACACACTTGTGATTATTATGTGCTTTTTCTACTTGCCACTGGACGAAATACGCGCTTTAATACATATTTCTAAAATTTAAGATTGTCTCAAACGTTTGAAACCGCCTACACAGCTGTTTCTAGTACATTATTTATTGTACGGTGTTTATTTTTAAACCATAAATAATACAGAAAATGTTTTACGAGCTGTTGTTTTAGATTAACGGCGCAAATAATGAAAATTAATTATTTTCTACTTTCTTTTTTCTCAACGACTAAAAATACACTTAAAATTAATCACAACATCCGTGAAAAGTTTTTCCTTTAAAATTGTGAACGCGTTAGTCGAGCTTTTAGACGTTTTAACCCAACTGGCTGCGTGACTACATACTAAAAAAGCGGTTGTAAAGTTTATCATTATTTTGAAACTTTTTATAGGAGACAATCCATATACTATAGTGTAATAATTTAGCTAGTATACGTCATGTACATTGCCTAATAGACGGTTTATAATCTATTACAAGTTTGCATTTACCTATTAATAACCATGGTATCTATCATATAAGGTTCGATATTACATTTTTTTAATATTTTTATTTATGTGGCGTATTTTTCTAACTTTGCTCTCTTTACGACACGTTGGATCGTCCTAGGTAAACACAAATTTATAGCCCTATTAACCTTTTATGTTAACTTAGAAGGTATTCATTTTACAATTATGTTTTTTTTATTACATACACGCTTATATAAAATGGATGTGGCGTTCGTTTATTTTTTAACCGTTTAAAATTTAGGGTTATCGCTAATAAGCCATATTTGTTTGGCCAAAAGGGAATAGTTAATACGTCAAATTTAGACATCTCCCTTTTTACTCTAAAACTACAGAATTATACGACCAACTACGTCCATAGTATTTATGATCTAAGAGGAAAGGTTGTATATAACTATACAGTCGGTCGTAAACCATAGGAGACGGCCTCGTACATTGTGTGTTTGGTATAGCATTTTTAAACAGCGAAAATACACCCTTACAATATTAGTGTAAAGGTCCCCAAACTGCGTTCCCCTCGGTAATGTCGGCACGTGAGCGCAGAAATCAGTCGGAGCTTATAGACATTTTATTGACAGCTTAGCTTACATTTAAATATTGACTGGCTCGGGGTGACATTAGTCAGTAGTCGGGCGTAGTACCTTGGGCGCGTCTTTAAAGGTTAGAAATATTTAAAATAATTTTAGCTTCGATGCGGAGCTGAGAGGCTATTTTAAAACTATATGAATTTAATATAATATGTTAAAATAATAGTCTTTAGGATCGCATTGGTGTAATTGTAAACAAATTGAGAATATAAAATTGTAATTTTATTTATAATAAGCGTTTATACAATTTATGTATTTGTTTAATGCTTTAACATCTTGCGATTAAAATTTTTCAATTACACAGCAATGACTCAGCACCAAGTTGTGATGGTTGTTAATATGTTTTCTTATTTAACTTGTATACCTGTGAACTACTAAGGTTTACTGAGATTTATAGGTATCTACCTAATATCTACATTAGTACTTTTGAACGATTACATGGTATAATACTGAAGTTCAGAGATTAGAGATTTGATCCAGTTGAGTACGATTTATATTATTATATTATATTATACAAGATTTGGTCATTTCCAAGATAATTTTTTTGGTTTTTATCTTCAAATCTGTCTGTAATTGAATAATTGTTATGATATTTTCTTCATAGATTTTATTGATAATAATTCATCAACAACGGTTTGCTTATTCTTGTTCAATAAAAATTATAATCAATTTGGGGTTTAAACTTTAAATAGTGATCCCTTATTTGATTTTCATTATAGTGTAATAGGTATATAGCTTATTATATAGGTCATTGAACCCGGCAACAATGGTGTAGCACTGTAGAGAAAACCAATAGGGTAAATGTTTTGAGTGACTGAGTATGTCGAGCCTTATGTTTATTTATATTATGTAATTTTTTATTACAATTGAAAGCCTAATTTATTTTTTCTATTTAGTATTTTGTCTACCATACACGGGTTTTATTGACCGGCCGATAATGTTGGCGACTTGCATTTTACAGCTTAAGTATCTATCATATGTGTATATTCAATGCTTAATTAAGCATACCTATCCGTAAGACAATACTTACAGTTAAAGCATATTAATGTAAAAAAACAATTAGTAAGAGTTCAAATTATTTTTAAAATTACAAGAATTTGTAAGGAACTTGTTTTCAAAAATAAATTTAATTGATGAACTGCTATTAATAAAGCAACAAATTTAATTAAGTGTATTAATTAATTTACATGTAAATATATGTGATAGCTTTAACCATTAAGGGCTAATTTAATGCTAGTAGAACTACCAATACTACTAATTTTAACTTACTTCCAATACCAACTTTTTATAAAAATAGCCAGCCATTACAGTGGGATCGGAGCATTGTGTGTTTGAAAATTGAGTTATGATTTTTGAAAACAGTACATCAGATAATGAGCGTTTATATTTGATGTGCCAGAAACGGCGTTTTAGATAAGGGGGTGTCAAAGTCAAACACAATTTTTAGAAGGCGAGTGTACCCACCACTTGTGCCACCGTGCAAAAGTAATCGGCGGTAACGGCAAGAAAAGCGCGCGAGATGTCGCGACTGACGCGAACCATAGTAAATGGCCCGTAGCCATCGTGACGGCGGCAAAACGTTGTCTTCGCGTTCTGTCGTGTGACCATTATTATTAATTATTCCAGCATAAGCCCACGGTCAGGCGGTACCCGTAGTACGCGCGCGTGTGTATGCGTGTGTACGCGCGAATACGGGTGGTTTTTGCCGGCGGGTCCGTTGGGAGGGACGCCGCGGTAACGCTGCCGCCGGCAGTGTGCGCCGCATCCTCGACCGAATCACAACGCGCGACGCTGCGTTTACCGCTCGACCGCCGTCCAACAACTGTACACCTCCATATTGGAGGATCGTGTGCGTATCACCACGACTGTGCCACCGACCTCGGCTTAAGAAATTTTTTTTGTGATATAGGTATATATAACAATCGAATAAGAGTTTGCGATAATTTTACTTTTATAACTGTAATTATAATAATACTAAGCATACATAATAAATCTCCATTGAGTATATATATATATACTCGATTATTTTATTATATTATTACATTTTGACCAAAACGTATTCTATTTTGAACGTTATCTTTTTTTTTGTAAAAGCCGAGTGCGGATTAATGCACAGCTAAGTTGAATAGTTAATACTGAATTTACCGCCAACGTCTATGGATACATAGTAATGGTAAGATTAATGACTTTAATAGAAACCATACAACTCAGCAAAATAATTTTGTAGTTTTGTTTTTGTTTGCATATTAGAATAAATTTGACGAGAATAGGCGTATAAATGCGAGGTTAAATAAGAGTTATCAAAATTATTTTGAGCTAGTAAAATAAGCTTAGAGAGTTTAAACAACAAAGGAGGTGGAAGGGTGTTAATTTTTTCTGTATAATGTTAAATATTAAGATACAGAGTGATTTGCAAGGATAGTTTGTATGGTGTAAAATTAAATTAATAAAATAGATATCATAGACCAGTCGCAGTGAGTAAAACAATAACCGGTAAATGACGTGTCTAAACGAAATTTCTACTCGATAAATTAAATAAAACACATTTCGTTGACAGTATGTTATTACTTCTTAAGTTTCTTAATTTATTTTCAACAATTGTCGTACAAACGATTTAAAACGACTTGTTACTGAGCTGGATTTTGGCTATAGACTTTTTTTATCCACATATTAATATAATAGACCTACTTTCAGTATTTTGAGACCCTTCACTTTTAAAATCATACAAAAGAATAAATAAATAAATAAAATTTCCCTTTATCATGGTGAAATTATTCATGAAGTAAACGTACCAGTTACTACGCAGTTCTAAAATAATAATTTAGTGTCTAAGAATGATATTTTCAGATACACAATGTTAGTGTTAATATCTACTTATTCTCTCGGGTTTATCGAGTATTGCAAAGCTTTAGTTCATAATGTAGTTAATCTATGGAAATCGAATGGAAGAATGCTTAACAATGCTTGGCGAAACTGAATCATAGATGATTATGGTTTGGCACGAATGGTAATTACTCGCTTACGTATTTAATGTAAACGAATTATCTTAATCTTTTAACTTGGTGTAAGATATTAACATAGTAAAATACACATAAATATACATAGGTAAATGTTTCTAAAGTATGTTTCTTTTAATATGTATTTTGCATTATTCTAATTTAAAAAAAAACATACTTCCATTATATTTTCTCTTTCTCTGTTCACTAAACGTGAAAGAATTTCATTAGTTCATGTAGGTATACATTTAATTCTCGTTAGGCGTAAAACACCTTAGACAAATGACACAAATGAAAAGTTTTAGAATGATACATAAAACATAATTACGAAATACTCTTTTTTTTTTTAATAGTAGAGTTTAATGGAGCTTTATTCTTGAATCGGTTATGAAAAATATTATAGAAAATGATATTCATCCGGAAATTCGATCGCTCAAGTTTTAAAAATAGAATATTTTTTACTAAATTTGAATGTGTCAACCGGTAGACTGGGCGACCGGATGTGTCCCGAGACGATACTTCCTTATTACGCGGATTTTCATATCGGCTAACGAAGACAAGTATTTTGCGGAATACATTTCTAAATATTTTGACCCGAAAGCACTTGAAGGGATTCGTGTACTTGTATGGTTCCATGTAAATCCCAAAGCGGAAGGAAATTTATATGTTACGTGACATGCGGCGCTAACGAAGATACTAAATCCTGTAAATCTACGTTAAGACCTTAGACTATATAACGTAACCTTCGAAGTGTGTTGTAAACAGGACACGGTAGATAAAAATGATGGTCGTTTTCTGTGTGACACCATTCAAAAAAATATCGATGTCTATCAGCTAAACGTCTATGTTATATTTTTTATGAACAGAGCAGATTTTATAGCATTTATACACATTTTGTAATAGCTGGTTTTCGCTAATTTTGTGGTATTTAGGGCAAATTGATTGTTATATTTTTAGTTCCTAAACATTTCGGGCTTTGTAAAGTTTGAAAATGCTATAAAATCAAGGCCCTGTCCATGAACCTATTTCCTTTTAATACATAAAATATTACTCACCGACTGTGGGTTAACATTATTTACAAGTTTTCCTTTTTGCAAGTTTATTGCACATACTGCGTCCAATAAGATGGTGTAGGTACAGGTTTTTTAGAAATTAAACAGGACACTTTTGAGTTGGTTTGATAACTCTATTTTTGAGTCTATATTTACACTAATATTGTAAATACATAGTATGCACTTTTTTCACGGTGTCAATATCTTACTATTATGTTCTTTTTTTTGGATATATTTACAGACATGATGTAGTATAACAGTACATTAAAGGAGACAAGAGCCTATTGTAAATACTCACACGTGTTTTGAGGCAATGACCCTAGCATAAAATAGTACGGTACATAATCAACGAATATACCTTGACCAATCTTGTTTCATTAACATAATGGGATGATACGCGCATTTTAAAACGGACAATGCCGTCCGAAATCCAAATACTTTCATACAAGGAAATAGCTTACCATTTAATCACAGGCGTTTTAGGCTTTGACGCCCAGCTACTAAGTGAGTGCTACTTATAATTTTGATCAAAATCCTTCGGGTAGGAGGTTGGGTGGAAAACTCATTTGATTGATTATGCGACTTGGACATGAATCATGATGTAGGGAGGAACCAATAAAGGTTATTGCCTCTCCCGTTGTAAAAAAAAAAACCACTAACGACATTAACTGCGTAATTTCAAATAGTTTTGAGAAGTTATAGTTTTTAATAGTTTAACTTTAGAAGAACTTTAATTAACCTTCGCCTGTATATAGCTGGACGGACAGCTGACAGTTACGTTCAATTTGCAATTCCATCCATTGAAAATCAGACCTGAACAGTATCTCGGATCTGTGAAATGTGACATCCTGCGCGTTGTTTGGCAGCACGTGCTTGATATCGTATGAGTGTCATCTGTTATAATATAATTCGGCATGACCGAGAGTCGCTGGTTTAATTATCGAGGATAAAAAGGGGAAGACGAACAAAATATCAACGCGCCGTGTGTACACAAAGCGTCAATTAAAGTGCTCAAACGTGTCAAGTGCGTTTTGAAAACACCCGGGCCGTACTTAAGAAAGTCGTCAATTTTTTTTAAAAATTATTTATTGGACTTCAGTCGATTTAATTAGTATTTGGGGCGAGCGTTGTTTTTATTTCTTCGAGCGACCGCAGAATTCTTGTCAATTATGTTATGCCTTTGGACACAACCGCGGTACACGTCTTACTTCGGTGTGTTAAATGATTCGTCACTTGTATTTCAAATACAATTCCCAGGCTTCCCGTTTTAAATTATACCCAAATGATGGATTCAATTAATATTAACTTTCAAGGTCCTTGCGCATACACAATCGTAACGGTGACACGGAATTACATATATTGTACGCTTGTTTAGTAATTCAGTAATAATTTATGTACATCAACTTGGACATTAATACACGTCAGCACCACTTTTGTCCACGCACGTCCTTTCTCCTCTCGGTTAACGTTGACCTAGGTTAATGTCACCTTGGGATTTCTCAAAGAAAGTGCGGTTTGATCTCGACCAAATCGGCTCGGATGCTTTATACCTGTCCAAAATAATTACAGGTATAATGCAAAATACACCGCACGAGAACTCCTTATCCCTTCAATATATAGGAGTTCTGTTATATTATGTTGATCTCCTATTATTTTTGTGTTCAATAGTTTTGATTTAACAAGTTTTTCATATTGTAGTAACGTATTAAAAAATTGCGTACTTGTATTTGTGTAATAATTCACACTGTATACATAGTAGGGTATCCAATAGGATAGGTAAGCTAGGTCCAAGTTTCCGTTCTAATCCGGTTATAACTCCTACGGGTTTTTTCTAGCCACATCAAGCCATCTTTGACTTGGGCGTTCCCTTGATCTTTTCCAATCTATTTGATTTACCATTACCATCTTAATAAGAGAAACATCAGCTCTCCATGCATGACCAGCCCAAGCAAGTCTTGAACTCCTTACAAACTACACTATATCCTCTTTTGTATACAGATTATTTAGTTCCCCATTAACCTCCTTATTTAATTTTGCTCACTGTAGTCGAATACAGGACCATAGATTTTTCTTAACATTTTTCTCTCAAAGACCAGAAGTTTATTTTAGTCCCCTCCTATTGTGGCCCATATGTTGCAGTCATACGTAGCAATTGGTTTCTACGTTATATTGATAACTGGGACTGGATCGTTAAGTGTAAGAGTCGTTTCTCAAGGATCGCAATCGTACTCGTGGTATGAAACTTTCGTATTTAATGCGCATATTTATCATTCGAATTAAGTACATGTTCTGTTTTTGTTTAAACGTTCTACTTATGTATGTGTGTGTTTATGTTTCTGACATTTTGTGAAACGTCCGGCGGACAACACGTGACGTATTACAGTGTCCCGGGACTACTTCTGATGATCGATTGTTCTGGTTTACTGTCCACTCCATTAAACGACATAACCGTTGTTTTTACCATAGTTAATGGTTTGTTCTTTGCTGTAAAATTCTCCCACGTCCTACGCCGATTATTATTTATCGGACAATAAAAAAAAAAAGTATAAAACTCCTTTCATCATTGCAACTTGTCGGTTTTCTATTTCATTTCATTGCACTCCGACTCTTGGTTAACTAACTCAAAGACGGACAGACCATAGATGGTATGTTAATTTAAACGCTTAAGGTCATTGTTTGTCGTTTCCGTTTCTAAATTAACCCTCTGTCGTGCTGAGTGGTCATTACACAAAATAAACACTTGTCATACCTAAACGTTTTAAACATTAATGCGAGATAAACGTTTTAATTGCGGTTAATATAATTGTTTGCGCCACGCAATCGACTAGCTGTGGGCAACTAATATTTAGTGGACTGTATAAAGTAGAAGAGCTTACACACTATCAATAAAAAATAAACACATGATTTAAATGACGAAAAAATTAATTTATAGTTTATTAACAACCCAACGGAAAATTAATATCAAGTACAACAGAACCGGCAACTCGCCTATTCAGTCAGACCATCGAGCGGTCACTGGCCGTGGAATGGTCCACCCCTTATCATATGCTTACTACAAAAATAACTTAAATAGAAATTAGCAACAGGTGATTTAAACCTGGACAATAATAAAATGCATATAGTGTGCATTTGTATCATTTATCACCGATCGTGGCATTTAACGATTTTATGCCAACATTTATGAAACACGTGAACAATAAGGACAACTGCATCCATAAACATTGTTATTATTTCACAAAAATGTAGCCCCCCAAGCCAAGTGTGTAGGCTTTGTTTTACCATAAGTAGAGGTACTTTACAGCTTTCGAATTTCCTATGATTTTGATATTAAATTTTAAACTTAATTCTAAAACTTCTGAGAAACTTTTAACAAAGGATTCGAGAAATATTTTGCACTTTTCGAATTCAATTAAGAACAAAACGTTTCCAATGATTCCAATTAATTATTTTTGTACTTAAGATTTTAGATTTTAATACAGGATATTGATTTTGTATTAAAATTATTCTAAAAACTGGTTTTGACTTTTAAGGATATTGCAATTTTTAGGAGCCCCACCCTTCGCCTCAAGTGTAATTAATGTGTAGCTCCCACAGTCTAAAAATCTTTCCGGTGTCCCTGACTATAAATTAACTGTTTTACTACAAAAGAATATACATAGCCTAGTGCGTTTAATTAATATTATTTTTCTGCTTAAAATTTCTTTTAAAGCTACAACTTTGTTATGATCGAACAATTCTAATAGATAGCCTTTATTTTAAGAAAATACATAGCACTGTAAGTATCATAGAATCACCATTTATTTTTTACCTTGGGTAAAAATGTTTTTATTGACTTTTCTAAAACGACTACACCAACGTAGGTATATCTTAATTGGTGCTCTGTGCAATCAGGTTGTTCTCAAGTTCTTACCATACTCTCCCTTTTAAGTACAGCCTTGGAAATCTCAATGTTTGTGGTAGTCTAGCATTAACGTTATAATTAATGAACTCTAAACTCTAAAAAAAATTTAAATAACAATTACTCGGCTAACAAAATGCGTGTATACTCGTGGTATCTGACGTTTTAATTTACTTTTAATTAATCGTTTGATGTGTTTTGAAAGCATAAAAAACATTAAATTTATTGAAGACAATCAGTCATTATCAAAATGATTTCAGTCACTCGCCTACCAGTGTTAGTGTTCACACAATTAGTTCTACCACATAGACACAATAGCACGCTACCGGGCTTTTATTTTTGATTTATGATTTTTTAGAGGTGACCAGGAACCTGTTAGTATTGCCCTTGCGGACACATAATCGCATATCTATTAAGTCTCAATTGTTTTTGTTCCCTTAGTTAAACATTTTTATCGTTGTACGGGACTGGTTTACAATTAGAAAAAATTTTCTGTAAAATATGTATTTACTACCATGATAATGCGTTTCATAAAATAACGATAGTGGACAATTTAAGTTTAAAAAAAGTATTATGTTAATCAATTAACTTAAGTATAACCTCATATTTCTAGTGTCAAATTTGACTTTGTATTTAATTTGATAATTTATCTATCGCGTTTAGTAAATAACAGTGAAAAAGATATTTGCCATTTACCCTTGTTTGACCAGATTTCGTTTTAGAATCTGAGAAAATACAGTTCATTGACCATAGGTGTATATATTATTATCATAACAAAAACAAACAAAAAAAAAATATTTTAAGCTAGTCCCGACTATTGTAAAACACGTGTTGTCAAAAAAAAAGAAAATACAACAATATAGTTTTTTGTTTTTAAGTTAACAATTGTTTATTTTATTTGACTGAGGGTCTTTTATTTTGTTTTTTCTCTTCGTTTCTCACAACTCGACAATACCGTTAGGAGGTTATTTTTTTGTCTCTGCGCTGGTCTATGGTCCAACTATTGTAATCCATCGAAAATATTGTCACAAGATCACCCGGAAGCTACTAGGCGCTTTATTAATCGTACCGTCTTCATTATCGACTTGTGTGGCACGACCACCGATGTCAGGCGGGCTCACTATAGTACGGTACCATTTTACCTATAATATGTGTTATGCTGGTAGTGCCATCGTCTGGTCTGAAGCATCAGAAGAACAATACGAGTATTGTTATGAACTAAAATAATATATTAATATATTGTCTTACACGTGATATTTAATATTCTCGAAACTTTATACACCTTGAGTATGTGGTTTTTTTTTTTTTTAATAATCATGGGAGGGGTACACACTATTAATATTTTGCACTCAACGATTTTGTGCGTCATTTACATGCGAGATCCGACATTGGATCACTGGTTCGCTCCATATATGTTGTACTCTTCATTAATCATTTTTTTTTTGTCACACAACTGATTTGTATCCGGTTCGTCTTTTCGATCAGATTTTATAAGTGAACGTCGAGTAATAGTTTTTTAATTTTATGCGTTCGATTATTGTCGATCAATTAGGATTGCTGTCAGTCGGTTTTTGCTTACAATATTCTGACAATGTTTGTTGAAATTGTGTTTTATTCACGTCTAAACCGTTGACGATATTGTTGTTTCCATGTGCATTGGAAATGCGTTCGCGACACATCAGGGATTACTGTTGAACGACACGTAGGATATCCGTTGGAAGATAGCGTCGCTGTCCCGTTTGCCTGGTCAAATCACAACCGAGCTCAAATGAAATACAAGTTCAAGTAACTCTATTTATATGTTATAACAGTAATAAGCATGCATCCGCATTTGACTTACCATTAGTATATGCATCTGTATCGGTTACTGTTGCAATTCAGTTGTTTGTTTCACGCTTGTTTCAGAATTTATTCCGTTTATATTATATCCATGCATATCGTTATTATAATGAAAAACTATCGCTCTTATAAGCATGCTATTATTGTCTGCGCCTTGGGTGTCAGAAGACCAATCTAACATTTAACATAGGTTTTCTATAAAAAGGCTATTGAGTTATGAGGCAAACTGTATTTTGGGCAGTTTTCATTTTTTATTTAAATCAAAGGTCGTTTCTTCTTTATCGAGCATGACTTTTTTGAATAATAAACATACCATTACAGAGGCATTTTTTATACAAAGTGCAGCACATTACAATGTGTAGTATTACGAATTTTGTTAAAATATCGACCGGAGATCGGTCCTTTTAGATTCAATAAGTACAACGACTAAGACCTAAAATAATACTATCCGCACCGTATAACCTAAATGATTGCTTAAAGGTTACAGAGATCTATGGACAACCCACGGCTTTCATTACCGCGATGATGATTACCCACTCTGTTCGCAATAATTACAAAATTATACTGAACTGCAAGGTATTCTTGTGAATGGATCCTAATTTAAATTATACCGTTAGCGCGGAGTTCGGTTAGGAGTAAAAATAAAACGCGCACTAGCTGAATAACCGTAATTCTCAATGTTAGACCACACAGACCCTCGTTAGAAGTTGTATTTACAGGTATAATATTCAAAAGAAAGTAACCCCTATACGCGTGTTCGGTTTGACAAGAGTTCCTTTTATTCGTCCGCCAACCGATACCTATACCGTTCCTCCATTAGCATTCACACGAAAGATATATTATACTGTGTTTGTTGATTTGGGTTTCTCAGTAAATATTTACCGAGGCCGGTTTATTGTTTCGAATCGATTATCCTTCGGGTATCTCGAGTAGCTAACTGGTCGTCTATTGTAATCTGTAAATACAAAATAATTATTGTAATTTATATGGTTAAAACAACGATTAGCCGTTCTTCTATTAAAACTAAATCAGACTCACACAGTAAACCTAATTCAACGCTATAATAAGTTAACACGAACAAATAGTCATTTATTCATAAATATAATCCTCGTGACTCATGAGTCATGTTTTGTAGTCGACCTATAAGCGTGTAATTGAAAAATAGTCTTATCACGGTTAAAAAATAAATATAATAGCGTACATTGTTATCGTTCGATCTTAACAAAAACGGCTTGACAACACCGCGGCGTCGCGTGCGGTTTAGGAACCCTTCTTTTTTTTTTTTTTTACGGGGGTTGAATCCAATAACATCCATTATCTGTGCAACGGAAATAATTGTCAATAAAGCTCATATCCCTTCTGCAAATCAAACGTCGACTGGCTCAGGAAGTGATCACTCACGTTGTCGGATTCGCCGTACATGTACATTAGACCGACCCTTTGGATTTAAAACGAGTTTTTGAAAAACGATCGTCCCGAAAACCGTTGGGGAGGGTGCGCGCGCGACACTCTACGGCTTGTGCATACAAGTTGTGTGTATCATATTGAGTAATGTGTTTGCAAACCGGACACAAATGACCGTTCGACGTTCTGGGGGATGGCGTATATTGTACTGGGTGTCTCTTATAATATCCCCTATGTTAAGATCGAGCGGTAACGAAACCTCGTCTACGGTATTTCCGAATTCTGACATAGTCATCGATGGATCTTATCACAGCGAAATGGAAATTTGACTGTAAATCTATCCTTGCCACTGGATTTTTTGACTTGGAAGACTCCAATTGTTTTTTTGATAGGTGAAAGAAAATTTTCGAATTTAAGCAAAGTTTGCTATACTCGAATTTAGAAGTCTATACCCGAAACGTTTGTACTACGTTGCGAGACAGTCGGTGGATAAGATAGCATTTTGCATTTGGAATACAATTGATGCAAATTTTGTTATTTTAAAAACGAGGGGAGAGTCGCCTCGTACGTCTAATCAGAAATCGAGTGTTTACTCGAAGAAAAAACAACGTATAAAAATACGGGTCAAGGTTCACGCTGTAGCCAACACCAAATTGATAAAATCCTATAATCTACGCCAGCGTTGGAAAATTACATGCTTATTAACTTAATTCCACCCGAGTAAGGCATAACGACGGACGATGGATTAACGCGCGAGTGCTGGTTAATCGTGTGTACAAACATTTTCAAAACTAATAACCACTGCCGAGTGTTGACATGCGGTTCTTGATGCGGTAAATATCATGTATTTATATGTAAATAAATAAAGATTTATATAATATCCAGGCAAATAATATTATCCCACCATACACACGATTTAAACACAATACATATTATTTATTAAGCGATCAATGTAGGTACCAAAAATATTCAAATTGTCTCTTGAAAATTAAATATTTATATTATGTCCGTCAATAAAATGTTATATTGAACCGTAACTAAAATAATTTGGATTTCATAAAGATTTATAAAGAATTTGTTTTATTCTAAAATTATTCAGTTAATTATATTACGATGATTAATTTATACTTGTTGTGCCAGCTTTTCATGACAATTTTGTTGGTTTATAAAGTTTTTTATTATATTCAGTCGTTGTGATATCAAAAAATCATGTAAAAAGTATTAATTTTAAATGTTTTTCATCTACATCAACATACACCCAATATACTTGGCAATGACTGAGATAATTTGTTTCAATCATTTTTTAAAACCATAGGGTACTCGTGGGAAGAAGATAATATATATTCGTTTGTTGACCTCATAGCAAGAATAAAATAAGTGACGATAAATTTAGACGGCCCATCTTTTTGCGCCGTTGCAAAATCATAAGACGCATGGTAATATGTTTTCTTGAGTAGAAAATGGATTACCAATTTTAATGAAGCGACGTTTGAACGACTTACGCTTTAAAAGACCGTCGAGCTAAAACCTATATCTGACTTGTATTGTTCAAAATTACTATCAATAAATAGCGCAAGAGTAGAAAGTAATGTTGGTTATTATATTGTCGAGGCCGACAAGTACTTAGATAGTGTTTTCCTATCCAGGGAAAGTGTTATTATGTACATTTTCCATTTTCATCGATAAATCATCGCACAACGATTACGCCATGATAAATAATACAGTGATACCTACTTATTAAATTTGCCTAGCCGTACTAGATGTGGAGAAACACAATACGGTTTTACTCTTTCTGTGCTTTTGCAAATCGCTGTAACGTGTTCTCTAACATTTGATACTTATTAGCTGTTATAATAATGCCAAGATGTTGTTGTAGTGTTGCATGTACTAACCTTGTACTATAAGGCTTTAACGTCCTGGCCTAAAAAGTTATAATTTCTTGTTCCAAGTTACCGCTCTAAGTTCAGGGTTGTAGTATTGTTTTTCACTTGTTAATTTGAAAGAGCAATGTTGCTTTGCAGCATAATAGCTCGTCAATTTACAAAATATAAGTACATTATGCATATTATGCAACTTCCGTACAAAAAAGTATATATTTATAATTTTTAATAATTTATCTTATTAACTAAAATAAGTGTATTTTAAATAAAATTCGATAAATTGATAGGTGTCATATTTATTTTTATTTACATGCATTGTAAACAAATTTGGGTAAAGAAAATAATTGTTTTTAGGATTATTACAAATTAAAAAAATTGTTTTAAAAATATTGTATTTAAACGTTTAGGTTAGGAAATAAATTAATAATAATAATATAATACCTAATACTTTTTTTTTCTATTTCCATATAATATGTAAAGTTATTATATTATAATTTTTATTATTACAATTTAATTAATTAATCAATTTCTATATTATGTATTATGTTCACCCATTAAATAAGTGTTGAGTGTCGATCCTTTTATAATTTATCACTCTTCTGAATTAGATTTTTTTAAAAATATTTTATGACCCTGCTAGAGTATTGAAATAGTAGTAGATGGGCAGCTTGATAAATAGCCTATCGTTTAAGTCTCGTATAACGGTTCAAATAGTAAACAAAACACGCAATCACGCACAAGGTTATGACTAATTCGCGCTGAGCCCTTACGAGCTCACATATTAGCATGATATTCACTGAATCAACGTTTTGTTTTTAATTGTTTTATTTTTTTGTTGGGACGTCAATTTTTTATCATTCAATGTTTGTCGAATGTATTACAGTGTTCATGAAGCCGGCGAGACGATGGACGGTGACACGACGTACACTACGGGGAGAAAAATCCGCAGGGTGCGCTGGTCAGTAGTTGCTTCTTTGGTGGCAGTCATCTTTCTGCTGTGTGCATTATGTCTGTTTTTCGCCTTCAACTCGAGCCTATGCAATCGTCAGCCCAACTTGCTGGGGACCACCGAGACAATTTTGGACGAAATACGTGGCGTAGACTACGAACGTTTGGAGAGCAACACCGGATCTACGCACGTCCGTTTGCCCACGTCCGTCATACCCGATTCTTATAGTATAAGAATCATACCTTTCCTGTGGGCAGGCAATTCGACGTTTGAAGGGCAGGTCGACATCATCGTCAACGTGACTGTCTCCGTAGATTCCATAACGTTACACGCCGTCGATTTGAATATGACGGAGTGCACTGTCATAAGGTAAGATACACAAACTTATAATATAATGCCAGTACTTCAGAATGTCGGGGTCAAGGTGAATCAAAAACATATTTCTCGAATTCTGACTTTTAAGGTTAAGTCCATTTTTTAGGTATTTTATTGCTTTCAACCTCGTCCCCAACACTAAGTTTTAAAACTCACTACCAGATACCATGCATTAGTATGAAATTCGAAATTTGAACTGAGCTTTTGGAGACAAAGGTTTCTAATAAACACTGACAAATCATTTAGTGAGATAAGATCTGTAAACGTTAAAATTCTCGTCTTCGTTTTTAAAATCCAATACGTTAAATATTTACAAAACGTTGAGATACACTCTATACATAGTAGTAATATTGATCGTGTTTTGCACGTGTTTCTCTGTTCACCGACGGGATCTGGTAGATCTTAATAGCGTTTCCTATTAAGACCGCATTGGTTAAACCATTAATCACTCGACGGCCGTTCGAAATTAGATTAACGAATCGAGACAAGTCCAACCGAGTCGAGCATAATGATTTTAATCCTGTTGACTTCAATGACGTCTTATGTTAAAAAATAAATTATTCTTAAGGTATCCGAAAATAGTGCCCAACGAGCACATGATGATGGACGACAGTGTTTTTGTACACATCCAAGAGACTCAACAGGATTTATCTAAACAATTTTTCATTATCAAATTCAAAGACTCGCAGCCTGCTGATTACCAGTACAAAATTCACATAAAATACACGGGGAGACTACAAGACAACATGGAAGGTTTTTATAAAAGTTCATATACCGTAGGAAACACAACGAGGTAACAAGAATGAATTTTTGGAACTATTTCATCCGCCTATTACATTAATGAGCCGTTTTCAGATGGATAGCCGCTACTCAATTTCAACCTACCGATGCGCGAAAAGCGTTTCCGTGTTTCGACGAACCTGCCTTTAAAGCCAAATTCACCATGGCCATAGCAAGACCCGCACACATGAGCTCAATATCTAATACGGGTCTCCGTACTGTCTCTGACCAACCGAAATTGTACGTAGAACTCCTAACCTTGAGTTCAAAGACACCTACATAAATCCTCCTTGTAATTCCCAATACTCACCTGATGTTTATGCAACTGTGCAGGCCGGGATTGCTGTCTTCGTACGAATGGGATTTGTTCGAGCAAACGGTGCCGATGTCGACTTACCTGGTGGCGTTCATTGTATCCGATTTTGAGTATTTGTCGTCCGAGACATTCCGAGTTTGGGCTCGAAGTGAGGTGTTATCTCACACCAACTATGCTCGAGACATCGGTCCTAATATACTCCGGTTTTACGAAGAGTTCTTTTCCATACCTTATCCTCTAAAGAAGACTGACTTGGTGGCTTTACCCGATTTCGCTGCAGGAGCAATGGAGAATTGGGGTTTAGTTACTTTTCGGTTAGTTCGAAAGGAAAATAATACATCGTTTACCTCATTAGTACTTAGATAACTCTTTTTTTTTTAACATTCTTTTTAAAAACAATTTTTTAGGGAGATCGCTATGCTTTATAACGAAGGGGTTTCGCCGAATTCCCAAAAAGAGCGTGTGGCAACGGTAATCGCTCACGAGTTGGCTCATCAGTGGTTCGGCAATTTGGTAACGCCAGACTGGTGGTCGGATCTATGGCTTAACGAAGGCTTCGCTACTTATATCGAGTACTTAGGAGTGGACCACGTATGTTATTGGATTATTGATATAAATAATAATATAATAATATGCGATGAAACGAAAATGACTGTTGTGGCTTTGTTTTGTTTGTTTCCGAAACGTCAAAGGTGGAACCACGGTGGAAAATGGAAGAACAATTTGTGCTGGGTGGCATACACAGCGTGTTTTTAATGGACTCGTTGAAATCCACACATCCAATATCAGCACGCGTGTCGAGACCGGAAGAAATCAATGAACTGTTCGACCGAATCTCCTACGATAAAGGTGACTTGACATAATTGATTGTTTTAAAAATGTGTCCCTCATTAATATGCTTATTTGTTTAGCCGCATCTGTAATACGAATGATGGACCATTTCCTAACTCGACAAGTATTCCGAAGAGGATTGACTAAATATTTGAATTCAAAGTGAGATCATTTTATACGTTTAAAATGTAATGGGTTTTTCGTTATTCTGACTCATTTTATCAAATTTTCACAAATTACAGTCTCCCGTTTAAATCTAATCACGTTTTAATTACACGAATTAACGATTTTTACCTCGTTCTTTATATTTTACTCAATAAGTCGTGTCTGTCGTATGTATTGTTTAATATAAACATAATACAACAATTGAACGGCAATTCGGAATAGAAGCGTATAATAGATAAAATGCATTTTCATATTACTTGATAAAGCATAAAAAATAAAACTGTTATTAAACGCAATTGTAATTAAATCAAACAGTGTGTAATTTAGAAAATTGAAAACGTTTAATAATAAGATATCGATACATAACAAATCGAAATAAAACTATAAATATTTTTAGTAATTTACATAGCCAACTTTTTTATATAATAATCATATTTATCATAAGTGGTTAAACTATTAATTATTATATCGATAGAATAATAATTGTTTCAACATGTATAATATCTATATTGTATTTAGGGCATACAAAAATGCTTGTCAGAATGATTTGTGGCAATCTTTAACCGAACAAGCCCTGGAAGACCGAGTCTTAGACAAGACGTTTACTGTAAAAGACGTAATGGACACTTGGACGTTACAACCAGGATTCCCAGTGATAAACGTTACTCGGAACTATGATTCCGATTCATTAATAGTTTCGCAGGTAAATCATAGTCAACGAAAACATATTATTTTGATGGTGTCGATAAAATTACATTTAGTGTGTATGTGTGTTACACCCAAACTAACCAGTTTACATGGGGGTTTCCTATAGCCTGATTTTGTTTCTGTACAAACACTATAACGAAATTCATTGATTTTAACATGGTTGTACTTCAGAAGTGGTTTAAAAGGGGCTCCTGAAATCTTGTGAGGCAATTGGTTTTGATTTATTATCCGTCTACAACCCATTGTCTAGCACAACTTCTTCTTGCCACCCCCAAAATTGGGATTAAGTGTATGGAACACTTTTTTTTTAGAGTCGCTTTGTCCTGCACGATCCCAAAAGTAACGAAAAACACGATCAATCTTATTCGGGTAATCTCTGGTGGATACCGCTTACGTTTACTACTGCGTCTAAATTGGACTTTTCGTCCACAAAACCCGCCTATTGGTTCAAACCGGAGGAGTTCATGATGCTCACCGAGACGGGAATATCGTCCAAGGATTGGGTCTTGTTCAATATCAACGAAACTGGCTTCTACAGAGTGAACTACGACGCGAAAAACTGGAACATGTTAATCGACTACTTGAACGATCCAGAGTTGTACTATAACATCGGTAAATATATACTACAATAAGGGTTTCGGTTGATAGTGACATAAGATAAACCGTTTTATTATTATTATTTTTTTATAACAAATTTTCAGGTACAATCAACCGTGCTCAGTTGATAGACGATGCGATGTCACTAGCGAGAGCTGGGTACTTGAGTTACAAAACTTCTCTTGATTTGACTAGATACCTATACCACGAAGGCGAGTACGTGCCTTGGAAATCGGCTTACAGATCTTTCACTTATCTACATCAGATGCTCGTCAAAACTGCGACCTACGACAAACTAAAAGTAAAATGTTCATCTTCTTGTTTGTAGGTTTCGGTCATTAAGACCAGCGTGAATCTCCCTACATTTTCTTTGTATGTACTATTGGTAACATTTTTTATCAGTTGGGTGGAGTGGTCGGGTTAATTATGGGTGTTTTTGTTAAGGGTTGGGTACATCGTTGAATCTCAACTTTATTTATTTACTCGCTCACCATTTCCAAGCATAACAGCGGTTGTCTCGGGTTTTTTTTTTTGAGTACCTAAACATTATTATTGTGTACGTTATAGGGGTATGTTTTACACTTGATATCTCCGATGTACAAAGAGACGGGTTTCGCTGACAACTTGAAAGACGATCAACTGGTGATTTACAAAAGATTTAACATGCTGTCTTGTGCGTGTGAACTGGGACATCTCGATTGTGTTCGCAACGCGGTGGCGCATTTCCAAAATTGGAGATCCACACCTCAACCGGAGAAGAATAACCCGTAAGTCAATAGCCGTCAAAGGTTATTGTCGGATAACAATAATTAACGCGTTTTTTTTTTTTTTTGTGTGTGCCTAATAGAATCTCACCAAATCTTAAAGCGATTATCTACTGTACGGCTATCAGTTACGGTGGCGAAGAAGAGTGGGATTTCGCGTGGAACATGTACAAACAGACCAACGTGGCTTCTGAAAAAGATTTGTTATTGGACGCCTTGGGCTGCAGCAGAGAGACATGGATATTAGCAAGGTAAAAATACACTATAATAATAATAACGATTAGCATACGTATTATACTTGTGCAATCCGGGCGGAAAACCCGAAATGCTGTTTTGAAAGCTCTTCGTAATGGTCATTTTTTTTTTTACCGTTGCAGATTCCTCGACTATGCCATACAAAACAATTCGAACATTAGAAATCAAGATATCGGTAAAGTGTTCTACGCTCTGACCAATAAAGTAGCCGGACAAGAAGTCGCTTGGAATTATGTGCGAGATAACTGGCGTACTATAAAAAACACGTAAGTCCAAAACCAACTTGTATCGACCACAAGGATACAATAATTAGCGCGCACGTGTGTCAGAATAAAACTTATCTAATTTTAGAATAAAATCAAACGTCATAAAAAATACATTACTTTTCGCTTTGTAATATGTTGTGATAAAAAAAAAACAGTCTTTTTTTTGTGAGATTTTTGTAAAATACAATTGTGAACCACATGTAAAGTCAACCGTTTTTGTATTAATACAAAATTTTGTTTCTCGTTAATTTAGGCTGTCGACGAGTTTCTCGACAATCAGCGAAATAGTAAAATCCGCCACGGCTCACTTCAATACAAAAAACGATTTGATTCAGGTATGCGGCAAATATAAAATGCCATGTAAATGTCATTGTGGCCAAATTCATAAAACGAACGGCGGGTGTAACAGTTGTCTTTGTTTTCAATGTGTATTTCAGCTATGGCAGTTTTATAAAGACCAACAGGATTACTTGGGTTCGGCCCGAAGAAGCGTATTGCAATCGATTGAAAACGCGCAAGCCAACGTTGAATGGATGAACAAAAACTACCAAACTATCTCAGCATGGCTGCGCAACACAACTTCATACCTATCCCAATATACCAACGAAGTGGATTAGATCATTAGACAACTTTCTTGTTTAGACTGTACATAATATATTATAAATTTTACGAATAGAACACTAAGATTGATAAGATAAAATTTATTTTCGAAATTTACATTCATTCTCAGCTAATTAATTATTATATTGTCTTAGAAGACTGTTTTTAATTTGTACTATTTTACTGCAATTTGATTGCTACATTTATGACTTGATGTACCTATTTATTTATACTATTTAATTATTATTTTTAAAGGAGGTTTAGTGTAAATGTGAAAAGTATTTTTACATAACTATTTATATTTAAATTTTATTTTATTTTACGTTGTATTTTTAAATATATTTTAATAATAAAAGTACACTAAATTTTAATAAGCAAGACGAAACACTCCCAAGTTTAATTAACAATACATCAGACATCTCCACAAATTAAAAACAATTGCCATTTACTAATATAGTTGTTATAAAATACTAAATCCGTATGCACACCAGGAATAGAAAGAGTAGCAGAAAATAATAAACACATTATTAATGTTGTATATTGCGTTTGACCTTGCCGTCCTGTTTTTTTTTCATTACAGGACTTTTTTTTTTTTTAAAGGTAAAATTGTTCATAATTAACGGATTGTCATATTACCTAATAGTCGTTATAATTAATAGGATGGGGGAAAATTTAAGTGATATTTGCAGTTTCGTAGTAAAAATATAAAAATATGAGAGTCGTTAAAAATATACATCGTAGGTGTAGGTACTACACTTACATGTGTTTTAAAATTTGTTGTGTCCAACCCTTTCCGAAGCATAGGATTAGTGTAATATGTTTTGTAAATCCAATTCCTTCGTATAAAAATAACAATGTTAAAACTCTTTTTTGAATTTTTGAAAAAATGTCTACCAATAAACATTATAGTTTCATTTACATTACTATAGTTTATACATGATTTTAAAATCACTGTAATAAAATTTACCGAGGTGGGTTTACTTGGATTATTCGAATTCAACAATTCTGTTATGTTGTGTCATTTTTATAAATATTATTATTTTGGCAATTTATCTTCGTCTTGCTTAACACGCTAACATATTATTTTGGTTAATTGTGGAATTTCAACCGATTTTAAATAAGACATTAATGTACAGTATAATTTAACAACAAATTGACAATTAATCAGGTAGGCAGCTCCTCTGCTATGTTTTATTTCATCTAATATAGATGCGAGGTACATTGTTTTTCGGTCTTCTGAACCCGAGACAACAGTTGTTAATTTTTATTTTAACCGGTAGTTTTAAACTACGTGTCGTTTCTCTGCTAGACCGAATATTTATTGTTGGTATATAATCGTTATGATCCAATAAACGACAAAACGCCGAACAACATAAAACATCACGTTCGATAATATTTCAAAAACATAATGTGTGGTTCGTCTATTGTATACGTTAATGTATTGCATTTGAATTTGAAATATATTACGAATTACCAAATATCATTTAGATGCTTAAGAAAATCCCACAGGCATAGACAAGACAACTGACAAATCACAAGTATACTCACAGGTACGGTTGAAAAAATGGAAGTCAGTGAACTACGCGACGAGATAAGATACGACCGGCACGGTTTGTGGCTAACTTCATATGTGTAAATAATCATAATATAATGACGTGGTTACGTTACGCGGTGTTCCGTGTTAAATATTCTTTTTAAAAAATATCATTTAGCTTAGACTTCCGTTCGGTGGTCCTCTTCGTTGTCTTTCTTTATTATTAACTTAGTTATATTATATATTATAGTAAAATAGTAACTTATACAACATCACCATGTTTGACGGGTTCCTAGATGATTTAAAACGCATGAACAAGCGTCAAGTAAGGACAACTATTGTTAACGAATTACACAAACAATATTGATTTCATATAACAATAATTAATTGTTAAATTATAAATACGACGTGTTAATTTAATATGATACTGTGTACACCCACTATAGTTCCTCTATCAAGTCTTAAGTTTTGGTATGATAGTTTCATCGGCCTTAATGATATGGAAAGGTTTAATGGTGTTTACGGGCAGCGAGAGTCCTATCGTCGTTGTTCTGAGGTATGTTTTTAAAATATTAGTACTTTTAAAATTTAAATTATATGATTAAAAAATTTACTATATACCTAATCATAAATCACATAAATTACCTTCTAACCCAATAACTTAGACTTAAAGGCCCTGTGAGCGATCACTCTGTCGTCCTCCGGTCCAGTCCGCCACTTCAAAAAACTTATATCATTTTGATAACTATAGTACTTGTACTTCAAGTTTCCTATTGAAAAGGATAAATCAACTTTTCAATTTAATTTTATACTTCAATATTTTAGACATATTTTTATTGAGAGTATTATACAATTTTTTATATTCTTACAAATTAATCAACTTAATAATTTAGTTAATACATGACCAAAATACCAATGTTGCTCCGCATCGAAGCTAAAAGATTATTTCTCTCTTTCTTTCTGAAAGTTAATAGCAAAAAGTCTTGTAACTACATTGTATTTTTATTTTTTATGTTATTATCTGTTTTTTATTTTCAGTGGGAGTATGGAACCTGCATTTCACCGAGGTGATTTACTGTTCCTGACGAACTACGAAGAGGAACCTGTTAGAGTTGGCGAAATAGTAGTTTTTAAAATAGAAGGACGTGATATTCCAATTGTACATAGGGTGTTGAAATTACATGAAAAGTTAGTTTTTCATGCTTTGAAAGCACATTAAAAAAACACTTAAGCCTAAGTAACCAACGTTTTAGTCGCAATTTCTTGCTAATCGTTTAGTTAACACCCAAATTTCCATCATTAAACATACCTACACAGAATGGGGTTTACTCGCTTTGTGATAATTTTAGAGCAAAAATACTTATAATGAAAATGAAAGTTAACAAGATTACTGGAAACAATTTTTTGATATAAACAATATTGAGCTTAAAGTTTAACAATTAAAATCACAATTTCTTACTTTTTTTAAATAGGTTCCCCTTTTTTCAAAATGATATTTTTAAAATCAGATATGACATTGCTTTTAAAATGTTGTTATTTTTCGATTTAATAATAGTTGTTTTTGCTTTAAAACAACCATCGACCTAGTAAAACGCATTTTGTCTAACCATGTTTTGATAAAATAATTATTGTAAATCACTGTTAAATATGTTGTGATAGTCCAAAAAATAAATTAACTGCTCAAAAAGAGTTTTAATTACTAAACTAATAATTAAAAAGTCAGGTAATTAAGTTTTTTTTTTGCTAAATTTCACCATTGTTTAGTGGGTGTTTAACAATTTTAGTGCAATTCTGATTATACGACTAGGTATTTTTTAATTTATGTTGATGATTTATTAATGATAATAATATTTTTAGAAACAATGGTACAATTAAATTCTTAACGAAAGGCGATAACAACAGCGTAGACGATAGAGGTCTATATGCGCCCGGACAACTGTGGCTTGAAAAAACTGACATGGTTGGTCGAGCACGAGGCTTTTTACCTTATGTAGGAATGGTTACGATTCTGATGAATGAATATCCTAAAGTTAAAGTATGTACTGATTTTTCATAGTCTTAAACATAAAATGATGTTTATTATTCACATGTACTATAATATTTATTAGCAGTTATCATTGTTCAAATGTATATTAGATATACATGTAATTAATAAATAAATTTATTTTGTTATCACACAATTAGTGGTAGTAAATCCAAATTTATAACATTAAAAAAAAAAAAATAATTTTCCTAGGGATTTTATTATTACATTTTAATAATAAATCAAATTTGGCTCTGGACTAAAGAAATTTTATTTAATAAAATATGTTAATATTGTACTGTGATATCATAGCTAGATGTTTTCCTTTTGAACATTATTAAAATGTGTTTTAAGAATTTAAAAGATAAACCTAAATTCTATTTTTGATTATTTTTTAAATACTTGTATAAAATTAAAGATTAATATTATGGATATTATGAATATTAATCTTTAAGTTGTATTGTATACTCAGTATGAGTACTATACAACTAATACATTTTTTTTTCACATAAAAGCATACAAATTTAATTTCTTTATCAATTATGATGATTTTTTGTTATAAATGGAAAATTGTTTTTAAAATAATTTATCATATTATCCAAAAAATATATAAACAAGTGACAAGTCATAGTATTAAAAAAATAGCTTCTATTACTATAAATAGACAGATAAATATGTATATATAGTATCTATTATATTATATATTATATTTTAGCTGTATTTATAAAAAATATTATTTCGATTATTTAATTAGTTGTAAGTTAGCACTCATAAATTTTTTTTTCAGTTTGCTGTTCTTGCTTGTCTTGGGTTGTACGTGTTAGTGCATCGTGAGTAAAGAAGAGACTGGATTAAAGATTACTAGTTAATCTTTATTACTTTTCAAGTTGTTAATTTAACTTTGTAAGTTGTGTTTTTATTGTGAGATAACTGTTTAATATACTTTTACTGTGGCCTCTCATCTGTTCAATCATTTCCTTTTTTTAATATTGTAAAATAAATATAATTAAAACGCAATTTTTCTCATTTTATATTATTATTTGTCACTGTTAATATTATATATTCTTTCAAATTAATATTTTAATAATAATATATTACCAAGAAATTGTTTATCACAAACTACCTATTGTATTTATTTTATTGTTGTACATATTTAATATAAATTGCAATTTTTAGGGAATAATATTTTTTTTGTTTAATTTGTTGTATTTACATTACTTATAAAAATATGGACAGTTAACTAAGACATCTAAAAATCAATTAAAAAGTTACATTATTAAGCACATGGTTACTAGTTGAAACTATTAATATTATATATTATAGTTTTAAAACTAATTTACAATAGTGTAAGTAAGTGATAGTAACTAAAAAATAGTTTAAGAATGTTTTCCTGCAAAATTAATTTGAAAAAAAATGTATCTCACTTTTTGACAAATAAGCTTTTGCCTATTATATTAAAATGAATTCTGTCCAATACTGCAGTATTTAGCTAGCATATTATTTGTTTTGATTTTTTTGTTTTGTGTCTAGATTATTAATTATTAAATGTATAAATTATAGTTATTTGATGTTTATTTATTAAATTGTCATGGATATTGAAATGTTGAAAAATATAAATAAGTGCATATTATGTGAAGTATAGTAAGTTTTAAAACTTCTTTTTGTTTTAAAATGTCACTCGAGGTTAAAAATGTATTTGAATACAGGACCGTTGAGACGGCTGATGAAGTCACTTCTTGCCAAGATGTGGTCGAAGTCATAAATGACGAGACGCATGAGCTAACCATGAAACTCAGTTCTTTCAAGCTGGCCTTTGTGAAGAATTATGCATACTAAAGTTAATGAAGTCTTTGGTAATAGTTGGAAAAAAAATCACTAATGTATTACCAAAAGGTTTTGGTATTGGTATATAATTTTGTTGATATACATCATTCGAGCTAACATGTGATGAGAGTCTACCGAATTATTGGAAGCAAAATAATTTCATACAATTCAATTAAATACTAAACGGACCATACACTTACTTTAAGGCAATAACAGATGTTTGCAATTAAGCATATAATCTACAAAAGACTAGAATGGGCTGTAGATAATATTATTGTTGACGACAAAATATTGGATCGTTGTAATCGTATATTCTTAGAAAGTCATCTGAAAATAGAAGAATAATAATTTTCGTAAAATGTCTCTTGTTGATAATTTTTTTACTAACCGATATATTTAAATACCTAGTGTGAAACATTGAGTTCTCAATGGTGTGAAGACTGAAGTTAATATTTGCACACAGGTACATCAATTATACCTATGTATAAAATAACAGCCTACTACAATGAGTAAAATATGTTGATAGACGTAGTTACCTATACTATACTGTATAGTGTATACACATTAAAATGTAAGAACATTTAGTGTAAGAAACTGAATCTATCTATAAAGGAAAAACTATGAATTAGAAGTAAAACAACAATATTATAAATATAATAGTAATTTAATTATAACCGTAGCTAAAAATTAAAAACGGTTGAAAAATTCTATTTTCCTTGTTTAAACAAATTGTATACAGCAAAGTGTTCGAAATATTCATTAGGAGACAAGCCAACAAGACTCAAGGCCGATAGTAAATTTATTATTATAATATGACGTGTAATATATTAAAACTAACTATGTCAAATGGGACTTTGGGTTTTAAAGTTTGGCGCCAAAATCAACTCAATTGGCGCTACCTACACATATTATATTTCCCCATTAAACATATGTACCGTGATAAGCCTACATTTAGATAACAACAAAACGCACCAGATTTACAGTATTAAATTATTGACAAACAGTAGACACTAGTCGCTACTCTAGTTAGCACTTAGCGTACGACGGTCGACAAGGTTTCCGTGTACTTTCTGAAAGTATTTTAATTATTGTTATTGTTTTAAAATTCATACTCGGATACACAATTTGTTTAGTTCTGGTCCGACAATTTTAGTGTATGTATACTGTTCGTAATGAACGAAAAGGTGTCTCTAATTTTCGTGCTCATTGCAGTTGTACAGTGGAGCTCTGCCGAGGGTGAGTCATACCTTTGTTATTTGCGCATTTGTATTATATACAAAGGCACGTATATACATACATATTAGAGAAATATGTTATTTAATGTGCGAATTTTAAGTTTTAGGTAACAACTACAAGTTGCTGTTGAACAACAACAGTCCGGTGACTACTGGTTCTACGGTAACTGTGAACGCTACAGTTGTCGATCAGAAAGGTGCGTGCGCTAGTGGAAAACTGACTTTCCGCTATGAAGACGATGCGTTCCCTGAACACAAATATTCAGTGAGTTTTTTTACATTTTAAACTATTATACTGGTTATCTATTGATCATTATTAAGTCGGTTATAATAATGTGTTGTATCATTTTATGTGAAAGTAACATATGACTTTGACTAATAAAACTCGTTTGATGTTTTAGATGCAAATTAAATCATGTGAGGCTATATTTCATGTGCCATTCGACAATAAAAACGGGCCGTCAACGTATAGATATCAAATAGATGTTCTACAAGAACTTATGCCTTTCATAAACTATCCTATCGCTAATGGCCGCGGAGACTTGATTGTAACTGGTAATTGTATATTTCCAAGTATAATAAATATTAATCTAAATTTAAGTAATTTACTTAAATATATTAGAATAGTAAAATATGTATGTATAATTTAATATTTTTTCTATACTTTTGAAAATTTAGAAAATTTGAATGGCCAACTCGAATTGTTCCAAAACAATACCCAAATTATCAAGAGCTCTACTCAAACTACTACTTATATATCTTCAGCTTTCGAGACTTTACAAAAGATTGAACTTAATAAAGCTGATTTTGATTACCTAAATAAAAGCGCTAACTCTACAGTAGTTCATTGGTTTGTCGATTGTGTGTACCAAGGAAACTCTACAGATTACTCTTTTGCCACCAACTACACAGTGTCGGGAATTCAGCATGATATTCTTGGTATTGTTGTGGCAACTATTGGAAATAAAACCACTCCAACTGAACCACCACCAGTAACGACGACTACAACAACTCCTCCAAATACTAACATTACAACTACAACACCACTTCCATCCCTCAAATCTCATATTAATATATCTCAAAATATTGTAAATAATTCCACTTACAATTCTGAATGCATCGAAAAAAAACCATTTGATTTACTAATGTCTGTTGCTAAAGTTGATGAAGATCAAAAATTTGGATACTTCAGTGGCTCAATTCTTGTTAAAGGTATTTATTATTTTTTGTTTTTCATAACCAATCCATTAGTATTACTATTACTCTAATTGTTATTGTTATTTATTTTTAGACCCGATAGAAAATTTTAGATCTCAAGGTAAAGTTTGGATTGAAGAAGGTGATATGTTTGATCTACAGGTAAATCAAATTAAAACAGTCGAGTTCTTTTCATTTGAATAAGGTAATATGTATAATTTTTGATACTAGGTGAATTGCAATGGGTCGGGTCCTTTCCGGTATTGTGCTCATTACGTACAAGGAATGTACAACGTGACCGGTAATGAATCTTGTTTGTTTGAAAGAAATTTATTGCAATGCCAAATGAATTTCTTCCATTTGTTCCGTGAACCTACTAATTATACATTAGTTATAATTTTGGCCAATGATGTATCAAAAGTTGTCACACCCATTGGAATCAATATTTACAAAGGTAATTTTTGTTATTGATTGTTAATACTATAAATGTAATAAGTGTTATAACTTCAATATAGTTGTGTTCAAATAGCATTGTATTATAAATTAAAGTGGTTTATTTGACAAGAAAAGTATTTGATTTATTTTTAGAAAATAATTTGATTTTAGTTGGTTATGATATTTTATTAAATTATATTGAAACACAATGCAATGATATAATATATTTTTATTTATAGTAAAAAAACAACCGCAAATATCTGTCATCGTTGTTCCTGTAACATTCAGTTCAATAGCTGTCATTATTATTGTGTTTGGAATCGCATATTATTTCCAAAATCGATCGAGGTACTTTTTTTTATATGTTAACTAGTTATTAGTCAATTGCTTTTTATCAAAAAATACTACACATTAGATGTGTCTCAAAAATAATAAAAATATACAGTTATAATAAAAATAATAAAACACAAACTTAAAAATGAAAAAAAAAAAGATTTATGTATAATATTGTAGTATAACAATACTGAAAATAAAAAATTTGTCTAAAAAAATGTATATAGCATGTGCTAGTATAATTAGATAAAATTTCTGTCAAAATTATATTTGGCCATAATTTGGATGATTCTTTTATTAGATTAAAAGATTTCTTAAACCTTTTTGGTCACTACTCATTTATTCCTATTTGTCACTAACTGTACTGTAGTGATCAAAACACAAAACCCGGTGATTTCTGCCTAAACATTTTCGCTTTCTAAACAATTTTTCTATATAATATTAATTTTTCTTATAAATACAAAAAACTTGAAAACAAATTTGAATGCAGAAAAATATTTCTTACATCATTATTAACTAAAACAATGGACTTACTTCTCTTGAGCAGTATAATTTAAAATTGTAAATATTGGAAATGTCATTATTTTTTTGTTTTTAGATATATGGTAGAAGTTGCCGATTTTGACTTTGCTAATAACTCGGACATGGAATGTAAAACATTCAGGGAGCGTTTACGAGATGCCATTAGTCAAGCTATTAATCGGACACAAGATTATTCTGAGTATGATGGTAGCGAAGAGCAAATCGGCGGTTTAGCTACACCTCAGAATCAAAAATATGGTAGTATGCAATGACCAAACATGACAGTCGGCCCAAATAAATGTGACGTTTAACTAAAACTGTTGGGCTGATTAAGAAGTAAACGATAAGAGTATGATTCAAAAGGAGTTCCTTTATATATTCCAGCTTAGTAACTATTGAATATTTGTAGCCATTCCAAAAAAGGTGATTTTGTTGAAATTTAGTCATAACATTTGTTTTTGCTAAATTCAAAAATCTCTGATAGACATCACAAGTTAATTTCGATATATTAAACAAATAAACTGTCTTAAATCGGCCATCTTATTTTTATCCTTACCTTTAGTCATTACTGTTACAAATATGTGTAAGTGTTAAGCTTTATTTATGTACAGAAACATAGTATGTTTATGACAGTTTAATTTATTTTATTTATGCTGTTAAATCATTGGTAAGATGAATTAGACTTTGTATACTTGAGAAATTTTATAGCTCAATATTAGCTTCAATATTTTGTTTTTACTTTTATATTTTTTATTTTAATTTAATTTTATGATATTGCTAATTTGTTTTTAACTGGCTTAACTATAGCTAGTATTACACATTTCATATAATTTTTTAAAAACAAATTGACCATAGCATACTGTATTCTTTTCAGCTTTATTATTAATTATTAAATATAATATATTTTTTTTATACTATACAACTTAATATATTTTCTATGTTACTTTTGAAGTGCTTTGCATAAAACTACTATTGTGCAATACTTTAATATCCTTTTTTACTCAAATGCAGTATCAAAATCTAATATTAACATTTAATTTAAATTATTTTCACTTTACTGTTTTTTTTTTCATAATTCCCAAAAATTCTAAAAAAACATAAATCATCAAGCACAAAACTTATTACAATAATTTATATGATTTTTATAATAAATGATCGTTTTCTTTAACAACTATTAAATTATGTGCCAACGCAATTAGTAAGGACAATATGCCACATTGGCAAAGACAATACTACAAATTGTTATACTTCTTTATTCCTAATTTTTTTAACAATTTTACTATATTATATAGTTGTTTTTAATTATGTTGTGATTCATAATGCAGAGTGTTGAATGTTGATGTATTGTTTTTACACGGAATGTGTATGGATAACTATTAGGTTTGTTATGAAAGAAACCTATTTACGTTAAGCATTCAAAAAGCTCAAACATTTTTATTTTCCCATATATTTATAAATTTGTTTTAATTGGAAGGATTTCTTATTTACCAAATTTTAACATTCAGTATTTATGAGCATATCTAACAACAATATTTTTACAAAATCTTTTTGTGACATGTGACTTTGCATTTCCAAAGTATAGTTTTAAAAATAGTTTAGAAGAATTCGAGTGCTGTATTATATTTTGCAAACAATGTTTTAGAAAGCTCCGAAATGGAATACCTCATTTATAATACTGATCAATATATTGTTGATGTAATACTTCAGTGGTGATTTTCACCCGATAAAATATATAACTGCAATAACCTTTACTTTATTTATTAATAACAATAGTGAACTACATTTATATATATTATTATTATATTGATATTATTATTGTTTAACCTTGTAAATAGATAATATTTGTACAGTGAAATATTTAATTATGTCCAATTTATACACTTAATTATTAGTATTAAAAAATTATAATCGCAAGATTTAGTGACTTAGGTTTTTATTTTATTTATACATTGTTTTTTTTTTTCATTTTTATTAGAAATAATGTTACCGATTTGTTAATATTAAATTATTTAATATAATTAACATGAATACCTAAAATATATTATTTTAAAAACAATGCGTTTTTTTATTGTTAGGTATTTTCCACCTCATTTTTTTCAATCGTATACAAGTTGTATAAATGAGTAATAGTTTTATTTTAAACCAACTACAGTTACTAAAGTGTTACAAATTAAAAACTCAAAATCAATTGAAAAAGAGTTTTGTATTTATGTGAGCTGATAGCTTTTAGATTTTTAAAGTGGTGAAAATTCAAACTTTAAATTGTTGTTTTATATTAAAATCAATATTAATAACAAAATATTATGTTACTAAGTATAACTTGCATAAAATAATAATCAGATATTTACCAATGTCTATTTAATATTAGTACTCACTTATCATTTGAATACAATTTTTTCTCAAATTTTAATGATTATTGTTTTTTTTCAATAAATTATAATCCTCATAATAATGTTTTTTAATGGATAGAATGAATTAATAAAACGTGCATTAAGTGCGATTACTAATATTACAGATACTTATTCATTTTTTTCATTATTATCTATTAGTTTTTATACTTTTCTAATAGAGGTCACGCGAATTAATAAAAAAATTGAATTAAAACGCACAATATTTTTATTTAATTGTAAAAGTACCAAAATAATTCAGAATAATTTATATAAAAATTAATCCAGAAAATAAATTTTAATCTACATGTAGATTGGCACATACTATAAACATTGGAAATAGTTCATTACACTTAGATCATGTAAATATTTCTTTCATCTGTTGTAATATTATGTAATGCATTACACTTTAATTAGATATCACCTAACCCGTATTCACATTCTTACAAGTATGTACAACACTCCTTAACTTAGATAATCACAGTAAACAGTAAAATGGTGTAAAAAGACAACGTGTAGTAAAAATAAAATAAACTCATAAAAACATTATTACTATTATTGTAATTATTATAAAAGTTTCCTTTTGTATACATTATTAAATAGTGTATATACTCTATTATACTAGCATACTATATTAATTTACAAATTTAATGAATTTGTAATTTATCGATTTAAAGAATTTCTAATATTTTATACAGAAATAATTAAAACATTTTAACGGAAAACGGTGTATTATATGTTATTATGTAGCGACACTTTTTCAGTAGTATACAATGATTTTAACAAACTACAAAGTAAGAATTTTGTAACTGATACATTTTTGGTACTTTATAATATTCTTAAAAAAAACATTAATTCAATTTAATAGACTCAATATAGCGATTTAGAAACGTTAGGCTTAAAATAAAATATTCCATTGAAACAGATTGTTGGGTTAGACAAATGTTGAAAATTCAAAAACCGAATTATCGGTTATTACAGTAATTATTTAACATTAAGTACAACGAGTAAATTTATTCGGTGTCGCAGGGCCAAAAACCTAATGTAAATGCATTATAGAAATACAAAATTGTTTTCGGGTTTGTCGGCTATAAAATGTAATTATGATATACAATATAAATAATAATAATATAAAGTAATATAAGATAAAATAAAGTAAATGTATAAATAAATGAAAAATTAGCGATTATAATAAATAATAAAAAAAAAATGTAATTTATATTTATAATTTATAAATGTATATAAAATAAATGGTTTCAAAAACGCTAGAATTTAAAATAACTAGTTAGATAAAAAAAAAAAGAAGGAATGGTAGTAAAATATAGGCATCATAATGTCATATTGGCATATTGTCATGTATAGTATAATAATAATAATAACGCGTTAACGGATCGTGTCAGTGACAGAACAGGGCTGGGTCGTTTTTGAAAACCGTTTGGTTTTGGCCGGTTGTCGTTGAGATGCTGCGCAGGCTCCGGGAACGTTCTTCGAACAGTGACGGGTCCGTGTAGATGGGTTCGCTTGGATCTTTGACGAACCCTTTGTTTATCCCTCCAATGACCATCTGGCTCACGGTAGATGATCCCGTCGGTCCTTCTTCTTGCGACGCCCTGCTCAGCGTGACCGTCGTCATAATTTTATGCGATTAAAGATTAGTTGAGTATTCTGTATTTTCAAGTGCGGTACTTACCAAAATGCTTTCCTGAACGGTTTGCGACCGCTTAAGCTGGAGAAAAAACTGCCACGTCCTACCGACGAAAATGCCGTTCTCCGTCCCGTGCTGTGTCCGTCGTTCGAGCTGTTGCCACAGCTGGTGTTGACCATCCTCTCTTTGGCCATCAAGAGCCAATACCGTCTGAAAAAACCAATGACACCGCGAGATTTATTAGTAGTGGAATGGCCAAGACGGCAAAGTATTTCCGACTTACTTGTAATAGATGCCGGCCGACAAGCAAACCGTTATCAATAGCGCCAAGAACATGAACAACGTGAAAACCATGCCGTAGTATTCTCTGCTGGTCAAGCACACTAGTTTCTGTACCGCGACCGCTTCGACCGCGTTCTGTTGTTCTGACGTGGGCATGTCATACCGACTTTCGAATACCTATTGACAAAAAAAAAATGGTGAATATCCGAATTAAAATTGTAGTTCCTAAGCAATTTTATTGGAATAATTTGCCACGTCTCACCTCGATGACTTGATGGACTTTTTCCTCTTCCGTTTCTTCGGTGCCGTCTTCCGTATCGTTTTTGCTCACATCTCTTCGTCTCCTTCCCAAAGACGGTTCCGTTCTGCCGCCAGCATGTAACGATGTACAATAGGCCTGTCGAAAGCACCAGGTAAACGTTATCGTTGACAAATATGTAATTTATACGAGATTATCGCTCTTTCAGGAATTAACCTAACAAAAAGTGAACAGTTGTGAATTTAATGAAAAGTCCAATAATTACCGGCTGGCACGGTTGATCCCGACACGTGCGGACCGTCGCTTCGAACACTAAAAAGTTGGATTCGGGAATCTTGAACGCCTGGAACCTAGCTTCTAACCCTCCGTCGCCATCCCGGGCTTTGTCCAATCCAGGGAAAACAAAATTGTCAACTGGGCACCTAAAACGAAACAACAGCATCATCAATGACGCTGGCAAATATTAGTTAAGAATGTCGTTCAAGTAATAACTGGCACGGACCCATAGCGGTCGATTAGTTGAACGCTTCGACCGCTGTACGGATCTCTGGCTATGACGTTGGTGGCAAATATGTCACTGCTGCTACCGAAGCTACCGTATCCACCGCCGTCTTGAGATTCGATGCGGAACGTTAGCGGATCTCCTACGGCTATGGTTTGCGTGGGGCGACCTTGGAACAGGATCATCAGACGCACCCGGGAACTCAACGAGTTCTCAGCCGGTAAGTATTCGATCGGAATGGGACTACCGGAGCTACATGGAGGAAATGGTTAGGCGTAAGTTTATGAAAAAAATTCAAATAGTACCGCGTTATAGACATGGTCCTTACTTGGCGGTCATGTAATTGGATGTGACGACAGTCTCGCCTGGCCCTCGAAATAAACAAGTGAGGTTGTATCGTTTGTCTCTATTGGTCTGCACGTAATCGCTGAACTGTACCACCACGATGTTCGTCATCATGTCTCCAAACTACAAGGAATATCATAATTTACTAGAGTTTACCAACGCACGCGTCCGAAACGGTCGGACATAATTTTGTTGGTAGTCATGATATTAAATTTATACTATGTACCCTTTGCGTTCCACAATCTGGATATCCCTGAGCGCCAGTGATTCTCAACACATTCGCGGTGCCACCGTTTCCTCTGTAAAAACACCTGTCGTAGTATCCGTGAGTGTAGATTCTGCCCAAAAACCCTTCCGGCGTTCTCAATGTAAATTCCATCCCGTCTTCGTTACACTCTTGAGTCACTGTGATACACAAAATATATTAACGAAACGAACTATTTTTAGGCGTGTTACTGATGACTGTTAGCCGTTTACCGTCAAGACAATCTTGGTTTGATAATCGACTGCCCATTGCCGTTCTTTCGTAAAAATCGTAGTCCGCGTGGTTTTCAAAGTAAGTCGAACCCGGATGATCGTTCGCCATGAACCTCGACGATTCTTGGTCGCTAAGTTCGCAGTTATGAGTGCCTCCGTACGGCGGGATTACGGTTCTATCGAAAACAATTCAAGACGACAATATAGTTTTTTGATATTACTAATTTTTTTTTTTTAAATATTTTAGGTTTTATCAAAAATAATAATGTCCACGCCTACGATTATTAATATTAGTAGCATGCATAAGTACCTGAAATTGAATGATCGACAGTTAAAATCTCTGGCTAAAGCACATTCTTGTTCACAGTGAGCCAGCGTGGGAACACTTATGGTACGCCTGATCAACGCTCTTGCCATTCGCATCCGTACTCCTACCTGTTCATTTGGAATACATCAAATATTTAAAATATGTTCTATCAAGTGATACAACTATATGGAAATTTGTCGACTGCCAATTTTTTAATTTTTTTTCGTTGTAAGCTTAGATTTTATAGGACAAAAGAGTTTCAACGTACTTGCTTAAATCCATCAGCTCCTTCGTCACATCTTAACGGCGGTCTGTTGTCTATACCGTTGCCACCACTGTTGCCACCACCGCCGCCGCCACCACCAAAATATCCTGGCACGGGCGATAATCCATATGGTGGTCCTAAAGAGGGCCCTAGAGAGGGTCCTATAGATGATCCAATAGACGGTCCAAAAGACGAACCACTGTAAGCCGGACCTAGTGACGGTCCTATGGAAGGGCCTAAAGATGAACCTATAGGTGGCAGAGACGAAGGCGTGTATGAAGGCGGTATAGACGATCCAATAATGCCGGGAGATGATCCGGCATACGGAGGAAGACTTCCGGAACTTCCGTGACTCGCCCAAAATCCTGATCCTCCTCCACCTCCGGAAGGGCCACGCACATCAAAAGGCTGTTGGCTGCCGCCAATGCCTCCAAATCCACCGCTGTTCCCGAACCCGCCACCTCCGCCACTGCCGAAGCCTCCTCCACCGCCACCGTTGTATGCCGGATACGATCCTCCACCGTACACACCGCCGCCGTATCCTGCAAGTTTGGAAGTTCAGTAATAGCATCAATAATTTGCTAGCCGTTAGAAAGTATTTGGCCAATGTTACCGCTAATTGGTGCTTTGGCGGGATAAGGCATTGGTCTACCGCCAGGACCCAAGAAGTTCGATCCTTGTTCCAGAGGTCCGGGTTCTGTCGGTCTTCCGAAAGACGGATTGTCTGAAAATGGAGAAATTTGATATTTTGAATAACTATTAATCGTCAGTTGATGTGTGACACTTACTCATTAAGTTCTCGTAGTAGTCGTAATCGGCATCGTAAATCACCCGGTGGCCATCTCTTTGGCTGAAACGACTCAGCCTACAAATACGGAACCGTTCGCTGTAGACGGCTGAACGGCACTGGAAACTGGCTTGTCGCAAACACTCGTCCAAGCACTCGCTCAACGACTTGCCAGTAATTTCCGAATGGAATTCGCCTCCTAACCGGCTGTTCCTGTACCGTTGGAACGCCGTGTCCGGTCGTCGTCCACCGTCGGCGAACAGGTAAGGCGTGTTGTCCGAAAACTCCTTTTCGGGACCTTTAGCAAAGTCGCCAGCGCCTGAATTGTACAAATTACGTTTAGCCAGTCCAATTAGGGAATCAGAGCGGCCCGTGACTTACCGTCAAGGCAAACGACGTCGTATAGATCGTATGGTGTAGGGTTGGTGTTAACGCGCAAATCGTCCCTCTGTGACATTGAGTCCTCTTCGAACACGATGCATCTCCTTAACAACTCGTCGTATTCTATCGCTCGGCAAAAGTATCTGAAAACAAACGGTTAGTGTAATGCTATTATGATACGCGCACTCCAGGAGGTCACAAGACGTCCACTATTACTTTTCGGCCCGAAGACATTGCGCTTGACATTCGACTAAAGACAGATTAGCAAATATGTCCACTTCGAAGGGTCCAGCAAGCCTCTTGTTTTCTTCCTTGACAAATATCACTTGGCCGTCGCATCGCTTGTCCGCTGTAATAAAGGGAGAGGTCAGTATTTTAGTGCGGGAAAAATAGGTGTCGGTTTACTGACCACTCAAACAGGTGTTTTCCAAATAGTCGGACGTGGGGTCGTCTTCCAAGAGTTCCGGATTTGATCTTCTAGTAAACCGACTTAACCAACAGGTCTTTCCCGTCGAGTCGTACGACGCTGACCGACAAACAAACGTGTACTCGTTGAGACATTTGTCTTCGCAATCTGTCCGGTTAGCCGCTATCACCTCTTTGTACTCGGCCGAAGGCGGCATTTTCAATTTTTTCCTAGGATGTCTTTCGAAAACGTAGTGTCTATTTCCGCATTCCCTTTCTATTCGGCTGGCTATAAGACGTTCAATAGTTAAAGCCGTCGAATTTAATTAATTTTTGTATTTAATATTATATAAATAATTGACCAAGTAAAAAAATTTTTTTTAAAAATAACGTACAAAAAAAAACAGTTTACGGTTTAGTTCTATCTTAGAAATTAGTAAAAAATCTAATAATAAGTATATGGTATGTAGGGTTCTTTTTTATAACTTTGAAAAAATATCAGATTAGTCATTACTGATTGCATTGAAGCTAAAAATATCATTGTATTATTATTATTGCTGGTCATTGCCTATTGCGGTACCCACACTAGACAATGATATTGTTTCCATTTTGGTAATTGGGTATTATTGTACAGTAAATTCCAATATCATCTGAGTTTTGATTGAAATGATAAATATGCCAATCATATAGTGCAACATATTGTGTAAAAATATTGTTTCAATGTCCAATACATTTATATATTATCATTAAAATTTGAAAAAAAAAATTAAAATAATTTGTTAACCAGTCTCTTTTGAATATGTCCTAGTTTGGTTCGTTAACCTACATGATGTCAATCACCGTGTTACGGTTGGCTGAATACAGTAATTATTGTAGAGATACGAGTGGCTTTAGCGAATGGGAGAAACAATAGTTTTAGCTTAAATATATATATTTTAACAAACAATCGATTAGGCTTAATCCGACATTAGGTATTGCAATAATTAATAACACGTTTTTTTGTTTTCTGTAAGTGTTGAAGCGTAGCTTGTCTGACTAATTATTCTGAAATAAATATTTGTGTCTGGATAATAATTGCACGTACAATACCCTTAATTATAACCCCGAAAAATCAATGTCTGCCATTTTTATAGAAATAATTATGTTTTACAACATACATAATATGTTAAAATTATTTGGCATATATTTGCAAACTTAAAAGTTTAAACAAATTGTAACAGTAAAAGTCTAATAGTTTCAATGTGATGATAAAATGTCGAATTCTGTTATTTGATTATTATACTCATATTATTTTTAAAAATGTTTCTACGAATTAGCTAACTTAAATTCGTATTTTTAGGTAACTTACACGAAAGACAAACTTCGGTGTAGTGCACGGAATTTGGCACTTGCACGAGAACTCCTATGCCTTCGGGGTGTGCTTGTTCTCTGGTTAAGTAGCACGTGGACTCTTCGTACTCCACTGTACCCCCGAACGATGCTATTCGGGTACCTGGTTGAAAGTCAAATGAAGTACAAGTTCTCACTAGATTGTTGGCAGCGGTTCGATCTCGCAAACACAGCTCTTGGCATTTCTCCAATACTCGAAAAGGAGGTGCTGTATCGCGGACCTATCGAGTATATGAAAATACATACATATTCAAATATTTATTTGTTTTATAATTATTGCAATTAATCAAGTAAAAAAAAAAATCCTAACGCAAATAATAATATTGGTGATAAACCGTAAAACCAGCTCAACACTCGTTAAAAGCTTTTTGAAAAACTATTAAATGAAATAATTTACAACTGAAATGTTAACAACGATTTTGTTTTAAAATAATCATGAATTAAACTTCGATAATACTTTTAAACATTCCAGTAAAAAAATTAGCGGGAATTTATAAAATAAAATAAATAATAGACCTTATAAATATGTGTGCATGATAGTTATATTATTGAATGGATTCCGAGCTTAAGTGGCTTTGTAAAATCTGTGCGTTGAAATATTATGTATTTAATAATCGCTTACATTTTATAAATAAATTATTTTAAATAAAATCGTATATGATTTTTTTGAAATCTTACCACATCATCATCGAATCCTTGTAGCTGGTAATCTGGAAGCCTTTCATAAACAATACGCCCTATACCTTGATTACAAGTAGTTTGTGCTAGAAATGTAAAAACATAATGACAGTATTTCATTAAAAACATGTGTCTGACATAGGTATTTTAAACAGTTTGCACTATTATGGTACTTTACATGGTTCTGATAAGTATCCATTACCCTCCTACATGAGGCGATTACTTAAAAATTACAAAAAGTGTTTAGCTTCAGAAAGATGTTTTATAGGCGATTTTGTCATCCCATTATATAAATGTGTATAAACAATAGATGGTAGGTGCGAATAGGAAATTACGAATGTAGGTGATTATAGTAGCTTTTGCTAATTGTGTACCAGGTAAAAAAGCTGTGTTGGTATTGCTATTATATTTTGTCTAGTGCATATAATGCTGTAAAATTAATTGTTGTTCTGAATGTTATTTTAATATTTCAAAGGTCAATGTGATCAAGTGGTCAAGTATTGCATCAAATTAACTGTATTAGTACTATAAGGAGTCGTTCCGGGAAAAAAAACTATCAATTTCAAAAAGCTCAAAAGAGAATAAGGGTGGCTTAGGCTAATGTTGTGTTTCACTATGGAACCGAGTCTAAAATATTACGCAGAAATAAATAATATTATATTAGTAGAAAAGAACGGTTAGAAGATAAAACCAGACAGAAAACCATCATAGACATTAATTACAATGACAGTTTTCAATAAATTGAAAGTTATAAAAACAATTTCGACTACTTAAAGCCGCCAGGTCGGCTAAAAAATACATACAGTGTGCTGAAAATTATTATTTTATTTTTGTATTAGAATTTCTCATAAAAATATTGCGGTGCAGTGCGGTAGAACAAAAACAAAGTTTCAAAAATAAAAAATCGTTTAAAATGTTTCATTTTAGTTTAAAAACAATTTCATTGTATATTTAATTGTGATTTAATGAAGACCATAAACAATTCCTATTCATATTTAATGGTATATAAAATATATATATACATAGTGTACTAACAATCCGTTATGGTCTGTTTGTAGGGGGGGAAATTGGTGTCAAGTACACATTTTTTTTTTTGACAAATTATAAAGGTAGTAATTTCATTGAATGTCTGCGGATGTATAGTTATTGAATTAATTTTTAACAATTTAGTGAATTATGTATAAGAGCAATCGTAAATAAGAAAAAAAAATTCCGGTTTTGTAACTTTGAAACTTTCATTGAACGCAAAAAAATAAGGAGCGCAAAATCAAAATTTAATCATTGTTACTATACTATATAATTGATTGTATTCCAAGTTGCGGAGGTTACAACCAGCAGCCAGCTGTAAAAATACATAGAACGTTTCACTAGTATCTTAGACTATCTTAGAACACGGCGAATTGTGTAGGCAAAAGTGATACGTTTAAGACGTTTACCGTTCCAAGACAACACAAGCCTAACAACGTTACAACTTGCAAATATTCAAGTTTTGGAAAACTACAGATAATATAATAATATATATTTTTTGCAGGTCAAAGTTCTCTCAGATAAAAAAATATTAAGGTATGAACATAAAATGCTGATATAAATCCCCATAACGACGGTGTTTGAAATTCACTGACCGTGACTTCCTCTGTGGATTACCTATGGCCAGTTTATATGACACAGTTTGGGTACAACAATGCTCTGGAAAATTCCGTTATTATTTTTCTCAATACTGTGACTATGTTTTTGAACATTAATTAACATAAAATATTTCATGGAAAAGTCTACGATGATCGACGAGCATTTTCTTGTACGTGACTATGTCAAGGCATTTGTTGAGCTTCCATTAGGTACATCTTATAATACACGGTTATACATAATATATATGGAAATTAATAACGAGTTAGAGGAAGAGACGGTCGTCAGTTTGACGACGCTCGGCAACCTGCTTTATTTGGGCAAAGAACGCTTTATAGAAAAAAACAGTATAGCTATACTCTTGCCTCTTTTTTCTCTTTTCCAACGATTCCAAATGTCTTACAATTAAAAAAAATAATTATTTTACAGCTCTATGGGGGATTTTATATACTCTAATAAGCAAATTAAACATTTGTTTTTACTTTTTAAATTATTTACATTCTAAAGTTGGAAAACAATTGTTTCATTGCGTTTATCTATGTTCCGTTTGATTTCGGACGACGAAATAAAAACGAAAATAAACGGATTCGAGGAAAATATTATTACATAGTCATCGACTGTCCGAAAATTTGTAGTTCGACCCCACAACTTTTGTGGTTTGTTCACCGGTGCGTAAACTTGCATCATAATGCCCCCTCCGGGTTCAACGAACCACCTGATATCACTAGTTGATCTGGTTTTCACGAGACATATCGTGGAAAATCATTGATCAACAGATAAATTTTAAAAAAAAACCCAGTGTAATTAATAATAACTATAATATTAGCATTTCAAATTTCGCTTAAGAAACCGCCATCTTCCCTTATAGCTCGCCCGATAAGCAGACTGTCGTTGTACTCAAACATTTAATATAATGGTGATTATAATTATTTTTCTACTGTCGTGCAATTAATTAGCAAACTCTCGGTCGGATGTACAATTATCGCACAATGCGCAAACGTCCACAAGTACATACTATACACAATTATTATTATACAGCCGAATACGAGTTGTGTCAAGGTCCTGATCGACCCTTTACGCATTATGTCTATCGCAGGTTTTATTCGTGGGCAGGAAATCGAGTTCAATGTGTTTAATTGCATAGTACATAACATATTATATACCTGTAAAATCTCTCGCCTATCGTAATGTTGCAGTGCACCTTCGTTCGTGTACGATTATCATTCAAACAAAAGTCATTAATGTTTTTTTTTGTGTGTTCTAAATTCCATCACGGATCGCTTGGCCGTTTAATTGAACCCTGCGTGTTCAGCTACTGTGACGACAGACTTTTCCACTAATTGATATTCATTCAAAACACATACCTGCCCACAGAGTACATCGAAATGCAGAAATACCGCGAAATAAAATTATTTTCCATACTGATACAATGGTTATGTTAACAATAATTGGAGCTACTTGAACGCGGCATAAGGAATATGGCGAGACAAGTGTAAGAATCGGTAAGAGGTAGATTGAGAGGGTTGATGAAGGGGTGTCTTTTCCATTAGATCGCACTGTTTGTGGACATCTATTACGCCTATTTATAAACGCATAATTAAAACAGACGACATTGAAGCGTAAGTCAAATACAGAGTAGCTGTAATCATGGATCGAAAAATACTAGGATATGCGCCGTGTTTGTATTTGTGATGTTTGAGGTCATAGCAATTTAAATCGAATTATAAAATATTAAAAAACAAATTTAATATGTGATTAATGTAGTAATCAAGCCTGTAATACAATTTTGATGGTATTTGAATTAATATTAAACCAGTAGGTACATATTACATAGGTGTAATTGGGATACCGCTAACAAAGCGTTAAACGCAGTTTTAGTGTCAAGTGAATGATTTGTGAACTATGTTTGGAGAACGGGAATTAAGGAATAATCTTTACTTATTTTCTACTAAAAAAGTTCAACCCCCTAGTATAGTAAAAACTCAAATAGTCTATAGACTTATTATTATAAACAATTATATTGTGCTGGGGAGTGTTCAAAATGTTACTGATACCATTTTATGCGAGCAGTTAGAATATATTTAAATTGAGTTTTAGGTAAAATTTAAAATATATATATAAATATATGTATAAATGTGCGGTGTTGTTAAGTGCTCTTATAATGTTTAAATACATAATATATATTTGGATGTGCCGTGCGGATATGATAGCAAAATCGAGCTTACCGTTTGTCAACATTTTTAGTACAGTTAGAACCGCGATAGCTTGAACCATGATATTTTGAAATAGTAATGATGTCATCTCCATTAAAATACTACTCACACATGGTGTACGCGATACCAAATCAAATTAGCTGCTATATATAAGCACACTAAAAAAAAAACAAACCAGCAACAACGAAGGAGACACACCACTTAAAATGAACCACCGTTTGATTATACGTTCACTGAAAACGCGCTGAACAACGACTGACCGGTTCAGAAGAACAAAGCTAAAAGAGATCAGATCACCACAGCCAATTTCCATCGCGATGGGTCATCCTATGTGTGTGTGTATGTAAATGTCCTTGGTGCACGAATGTGCCGGATGTATGTGGCGGCGGCTATTGTGTTCTGGCTTCCGGAAAAATAGCAGTAACAGAACAGCTATGGTGGACCCTAGGCATGAACCCACACGCGGTATACAGATCACACGAGAGAGAGGACCAATGTAGTGGAGGTGGGTCGATGAACCGTCAGGTTTGTGTGCACTTTTATTATGTTTAGAAAGCTGGAAAGGGAAGTTGATCGCCAATCGGAAACCAGATGAAAACCCCAGACATTTTTATGTTTGAAGAAAATCAAGCATTTTTTTGTTGGTCCTATTGGGGACTTTTTACATCGGCAAACCAACAACTAGCCTACGTTCATGTTGTTGTTTATTATAATTATTACACAAATGCCATATTATGGAGAGTTAGGCCAATGTAAGAATTTCTTCATTTTAATTCTTCATTATTATTAATTGTCCCTTTTAACCGGTGGTCTCTCATATTCTTAGTATACCACAAGCTTTCCAAGTCTAGGGACTAACATAAAAAAATATTTTTTGCGAGTATTTAAAATAATAAAAAAAAGTACATATACTTTATACAGCCATTGTGTTATTTCTATTACTGTTTTATACATTGAGGATTGAATAGAATTGAAAAGGATGGAAAAGTTATACATAAAAAATTATATTTTAGGTAAAGCAATATAAGTATTTTCTGTTTTATTTGAGTTTACGCAAAACTAGTGATTTTTGTGCTATTGTTTTAAATATTATCTAGAATTAGGTCATCGTACTCATGTTTTGTTGATTTCCTGTTGAATAGGTATTATGCTAAAACGAAGAATTTAGGTCAGCCACCGGTATTTACCTATTGTATTAAACGTGTGATAAAATAATTTGTTTTAAAACGTTTAGTTCATATATTTTTAATAAAAAGTTATTTTTTTTTAACGCAATGATTACATATCTGTTGAGCTTTTTGTTCTGGCTGTAGTTTTAAAAATTAAAAACATACGTTATCGTACAAATTATTGTGTGTGTTACACATATACAATATAATTTGTACGCAGACTTGGTGTCAAGTCTGGTGCAGACAAAGGTCATCACGATTTTAGTAATTAGCATTGTCCAAGGCCTCACAGTATCCTAAAATTCGATAATTGCCCTTAATAAACCTCTGATTTCATTGTACATCGTTACCTAACCTTGTAAATTTACCAAATGAATGGCCGATATTATTAGGGTTTAATTATACACAATGCATATTATTAACATTTAACTATTCTGACCGGGTTAAATCACTAATTTTATTTTACGAGTGTACATTTTTTAAAATTAATTGAAACATTTCATTGCACGTTGGGTTCATTAACTGACTGCTAGTTTTCATAATGTATGTATTACACAATGCACATGCATGTATTGTCAATATCAGTTGTACTATTAAGTTAAATTATGTGTATTGAATAATAGTTTTAAATATTAATTAATAAAGTTATTTTAAGACTTTATAAAATTTAATTATATTTAGATTTTAAATAAAGAGGAAAAATAAGTGATATTTTAACCAAAAAGATATATGAAAATATTGTTAAAGGAGGCTGGAGATTTGAACGCTCTTGCTCAAAGTGACTGATTCCCGTTGTTAGGGTTATTATGAATAATAAATAATTATTGTAAATAATAATAATTGTCTTTTTACAGTGTAGCAATAAAAATATACTAAATCATTTAATCTTTTTGACATATGTCTATATTATATAGTTCACATGTAACCAATAATACTATTAACTTTATTTCATTTAAAATAAAAAGTTACAAGTTCCTATTAGTGGTGGAACTATCCAAACTGGATTAGTTGTCCGGATTTTCCATTTAGAGTTTGGTTTTTTCCTAAAATTGATAAAGAATAGAGTAGATAAACCTGATTATTTGAAATTGACAAACGGTCATAGACCTCATTTATATTTATCTGACTTGAAATGCAACAGTAATTATTACTATTTACAAACTATATGTAATATTTAGCATGAATTATCTATTCAGCATCAAGATAACATTATGTACACACTACACTGACAGTAAATAATAATAAAAATGAGTAAAAAAAAAATGGCAGCGACTAAATTGTAACGGAAAGGAGTATTTATGTAGGTATGCAGGAATATTTTTTCTATATTTACCTCTCTTAATTGCCTGTTAGAACATGCCACTATTTACAATAAAATATATAATTAAAATTTTTAAAAATCAATGTTATTGTTACAAGTATGCCTAAAAGCTCTTTTTGATAAATTTTTCTGATATAATTATTATGTTATTTCTAAAAGTTCACTTCATCTATTCATCTATTTCAAATACGAATATAAAAGTAATTAAGCTTAATGTACTGAAAACAGTTGTAGCTAGTTATAACATTTTAAAAGAAGAAAGTTAGTTTAACTACTTAATAGTTAATATTTAAAATAAGGTGTTTTGAGATAAAAACTATATGCATATCAAATGAGAAAGCAAAACAATTATTGTTTAAATGTACGTCTGAAGGGCTCGATTACATGAAATTAATTTACTATATTATCATATATTATACACATTGTTAACCAGTATAACTTATTATAGAATATTAACACAATACATATTATGCAAAATACACAATGCGAATTTATTAAATCTATGTATGCTGAACCTCGTAAAAAATTTGATTCAGGACTTCACAGAAGTATGACTCACTTCTGAGGTTTATGTGCTGAATCATACCATTGTCCATAAAACGACACTATTGCAATTTGCACACAGTCGATCCAAATAGTAGATGCTGGATGACTTGCACATCAAATAGCTTTGATAAGACGTTTAGTAAAAGATACGTATTCGGTATTGGCTATTGATAAGTAATAATACAATTGTAAACTGTAAAGTGAGCAAAAAAGGAGAAAAAATAAGAAAATAGTAAAACAATTCAAATTTAGAAAACAATTTTTTCCCAAATTTTAATTATCGTCAGTTTGTCAATTGTCATTTGTATGACGAACTGACCAAAATTAATGTAAAAATGGATCAAATATCTAATATAAAAGGAAAAATATTGTAATATTAGAAATAACATATTTTTTTAGGACTTTTCATTACGTTGTTATAATGTAGTAACGAAAGAGTCTATCAAACGTTTTATTTACAAATAGTTATTTAAAGGTAAAAGTTCAGTGATAACTAACATAATTTTATATAATATTACATTTGTATAACGCACACGTGTTTTAAAAGTGACATTAGTTAAAAAAATCGTAATTTATAGTTATAATAAACTGCAAATAACCAATAATACCTTTTAACCATATTTTTTAAAAAATAATGTTTAAAAAAAAATATATACTAACTGTATTATTAGTTGTCTGGCAGAGTGTAGAAGATCTATGCAATAAACCAATTTAACACTAAGTAGTAATAAAACCGAATAATAAACTAACTTTGAAGTGAATGTAAAATTGTAAAGCTTAACGTAAAAAAAACACTGTACATCAATAAAAATATACACAAATAACTGACTATAATAATATGTTTTATTCTGGTCTAATTTATACAAAATCCAAATCATTAATAATATACAATAATATTATTTAACTAAGTCTTTACAATACAATTCTAATTTATTTTAATATTATTGCTATACAATTATTATTGTTATTATGCGGAGGCTGCATCGATGAAGAACTACTCTATGGGGACGCAACGGTGGAAAATATAATTCTATTGTTACTCAACGATAAAGGTCCTTTGTGTTATTTGACGTTGATTTTGGTTAACATATTATCATCATACCTCAAACTGCAAACAGTGATATATTCTCAATTTCATTTTGTATTTGTTTGTGCAAATGGAAAACCTAAACGGCAATAACACACACGTGGTACGTTGTGAGCATATTAAACGGTAACTTTTATGACATGATATTACAGGGAATCGTTTGTCTAGACTGTCCGGAGAGAAAGGCCATCGAAACCGTTAAGATATTTGCAACCGTCGTTCGACAACCAAATGATGTGCCCAGGTGGATTGATGCCAGGAAACAGGTATTTTTGTATATCATAATATATAGGTATAATATTATACTATAGGTACTAGGTATTTTGAATGAATAACGTTTTTGTAATTATTAAAATGTCACCATCGTTAATCAGGCATAATCAAAAACGTTATAGTTATCACTGTTAAAATGTGTGAAAAAATGCTAAAATATGTAATTTAATTGGACAGAGTCTACTATACAAAGTTTTATATTTCAGAACTCTTAATGGTGCATTAAAAACTAAACCAAGGTTCGTTGTGTATAACGACGACGACGACGGTTTATCGACGGCCATACATGCTAAGAAAACGTCAGTAGAAGAAAAAAAATGTTAAAAAATATGTTTACATATATATTTATTTACTTAAAAAATACAAGTTTATGATGTTTTCCTTTGGTTTCTTGTCAACTAAGATCTATAAGTATCCACTTATATTAATAACAAACAAAGATTACATTAGCATTTTTTTTATTTTAAAAACATTTAAAGCGCAAAGGCTTTAAAAAGGAATTAATGTTACCAAAAATATAATTTTACTAGCGGGAGGCCATAACTTCTGAAAAATTTGCCTAAAAAGTGTCTAATCGTTTTAAGTAATGTTAATAGTTTCCACAAAAAAAATTTGTTTTTCTAGATTTTATATTTTGATTAAGTAAAAATATAAAAGTTATACTATAAAATCATTTAAATTTTAACTGTCATAAATTATTTTTATTCAAGTACATTTTTGTTCCAATAAATTATGAACCAATCATTAAAATAATAATTATTATTGTAGTCAATTATAAAAAATTGTCCAACTCTGCACTGCATTCATGGTACGTGGTGCTCTCTATGTAGAAAATACTGCAGTTATTTGTACCTATGTTGTTTCGGCAATAGAGAGCGTTACGCTCTCTAAACTACAACGGTTTTACTAAAATAATTATAATCCTAGTATTTACTATTTCAATGTTATTTACAACTATAAAACCACATGAATCTTTTAAATGTTGACTCAAATTTTACCAAAAAAAATGCATAGTATTTCATATTTTTATTGGTTGCATTTTTTAGTTTCTAGTAGTTAGTACAGTGCAGGGCAACAGCTATGAAGCAAGTTATTTGTTCTCGGTCTTATAAATTATTTTATAAGTCATCTATTTTTCTTACCGTGATAGATTCTTACACCATCCTTAACAACTTTTTTTTCAAACTAAATCACAAAAAAATAAAAAAATTGTGCTCAAAATCGGACTAGTTTAAAAAAAATTGTAATTATAATATTTACAAAAATGTCGAAAAGAAATCATTTATTACATACGTTGTAAAAAATACAATTGAAATGATAAAAATTTATACACTTATTGTGAAATATTATAAAAAAATTGTTTTTAGTTTTAAACAAAGTACGAATACACAAAAAAACATAATTTCCTCGTTACTTACGGCTACTCATTTTTATAGCAAGCTACACTTAATTAAAAAAATCATAACTCGTACATTTTTTTCTATAATTCATAACTGAATATTAATAAATAATTTAAGAAAATCGGATAAGCCTTTTATACAAGGGTATTAAGTGTAAAGTAAATTTCAGTTAAATCAGAGGTGCATAAGCCAAACAAGGTGTGGATTATAAATAAAATAATAGATACTTTATATTTTTAATACGGTTTTGTTTTAATGCATATTATAGTCGATGTTATCGCTAGTTCATTCCTACACAATTTTTCATAAGCTGAGCACATTGTAATTTTCAAATAATTTTAATATATTATTGAGTGGAAACAATAATAAATATGCGATACGGTTGGCGTACATTTTTTAAATACTCCTCTGGAACGTAGAAAGGTAGACTAGATATTATACATTTTTTTACTATCATACACATTGTAACATAGGCCTATAATTAACGGCTATTTAATAGGTTTATGCGTTGTATCGTGTCGTCGAACTGTTTATCGCGTTGAACGCGTTAAGGTAATTTTTGTGTTTATCAAAGCGAATATGTATACATAAAAAAATTCTGTCATGTCTATGAAAAAAAATTGTCTACACCGTATATCCCGCAATTGTATACAGCGTTAAAACGTGATGGTCGTATACCTATATATTATCTTTTTTCCACTATTTATTTAAAATATTTTCGGTTGGATGTTCGCATTTTACGGTTTAAATTGTTAGTGTACATTAAAGTGTTTATACTTAAACGTTTTTTGGGTACGATTTAAAAAAAAATAGTTTTTTCATATAATACATTGTTTGTTTCTCAATTCTCATCATTGGAGAATATCGAAATCGTATAGAACAGCGGTCGCCAACCTTTCGGACATCACAAACCACTAAATTCATAACTTTAATTCCGCGGATCACATGTCATATTATGGATTATAATTTATATACACAATTGTAAAATAATGATCAGAGGACTTTCACTTTATACATATTAACTGCACATTTTTTTTAACATGACAACATTTAAAAAATGCTTATTTAATCGCAACAAAATGATGAAAGTTTTTTTTTTAAATTATTACAAAATAATTATTTAAGGGTTAAACATTTTTGGTGCGATATATTTTATTCCTGCTTGTTTAAAATAAGTTTGTGGTGTTTTGGCTCCAATAACGTCACTGCACAAGGAGAATTCTGTTAAGGTCAATGAAATAAAAATGCAAATATTATCCACACTTTTCTGCGGACTACCGAAATTCTTTCACGGACCACTGGTTGTATATATATATATATAATCTATACTAATATATCCATACAAAAACAAAAACACATTATAAACGCAGTCACGGTGTACCTATATTGTCTTCCGTGGTCAGCAGCGGTGCAAGGTAACGTGTCTTCCCCTCCGTTTGGAGGACAGGCACACGCACACGCCGTCGACTTCTTGTAACCGATCCGCCTCGGCTTGGTCGGCTCTCTCAGTGGCAACGTGACTGCTCGTGTTCGCCGTACTCTGTTGTCGTTCGACCCTCGCCGGCTTGGGTTTAACGCTCGTTTTTCAGTGTGTGTGCTCGTGTGTGTTTTTTCACCCCTTCGACTCTTTTTTACATTTTTTTTCAAACAATACCTATTACAACAATTATACCTATCCGTCTATATATTATATATATAATCGAGCGCGTATGATCCGACCGACCGGTCTATAGGATCGGGACATTTAAATATATATATATATATATACTTTTTTTTTAAAAAATTGTTGTTTTGTTTTGGTGTGTGCTTTCCCGAAGGGGGCTTATATAGTTCGACACCAGGTCACGACCGAGACGACGAACGGCCCCGAAAATGGAAACCGAAGAGATCACCAAGCTCGTCGACGGAATTTACAAGGTATTTAAAATATATATATATATATTTTTTTTTTAATAGCCTTTAATAACAAAAAACATTCGGCTCAACAATTAAACAGTAAATATATATTTACCAGCCAGAATCCTAGGCTTGGCAATCCTGGTCCTATGTGATAGACCCTCTACATATTACTATGAAACGCTATTTTTTAAAAGTCGGTATTTTTACAAACAACTATGTTCAACGACATTACTTTTGAATTTTTAGTATCATACCAACAATCGGAAATAGAGACTTCAGTCATTTTTGGCGCGCAACAAGGTCTCAATATACCCAATTGCATTGCTAACTTGTGTTTCTTGTGCTAGGCAACACAAACAATGATAATTAATGTGTAAATACGCGTATGTCGCTTGAATAGATATGAAAATACGATTCTCACGAATGATGTAATATTGTAAACACGTACCTACCTATCGTAGTACCCTCCGTAGGCGTATTTTGTCGAATAAATAAAAATATGTAAATAAGATAATTAAAGGTATATACATGAATATAGTAAATAAATACACTATATTATATTATATCCTCTATAGATATATATATATATATCTGCAGCTCCGTGCAAGTATGCCAAAAATAATTTCAAGTAGATTTTTACGGTTAAATTGATAAATATTTATTTATCAATAGTTATTAGTTAACCTACCCGTATTCGTAGTACTGATGCGAGTCTTAATGAAAAAATTGGTCAACAAGCGTCTTTGGTAAAAAAAAAAAAGAGAATAATATTATTGTCTAAAAGCGACACCTACTAATTTTGTTAGGTTTGTTACTGGCTACCAGTCACTTGTATCAATAATAACGTTACTGTCGAATGCATTAGGGTCGGTACATCAAGGTGCGACTTTGGGAATTCGGCAGTTGAGGGTGAAATGATAATATTCCTGAGAGAATCGACATTCTCCATCGGACCGGCAAATTATACCGTCGGCCCTTGTGTTGTTTGTAATTAATGTAAATAACGTTTTGCCAAACGCCAGTCGAACCATTATTGTTCGGAAATTCCTCGACAATATTAGCGCCTTCGGTGTATCAGAAAAACAAATTCTTATTTAAAAAGAAATAGTAAACATTTAAAAAAAAGAGATGGAAGATTAGGGCGTCCACGTTTTTCTCACAGTACATAGAATATTCTGCGACAAAAATCAAGATTCGAATGAGCAGCAGATTAAGCTGTTTCTGTGTGGGATTTGAATTGCAAATTATTATTTTTCAAACATCGCATTGCTATTATTATTATTATGTTATTGTCGACCGTATACCTACTACGTGTAGATTCGAATCAGAAGAATGCAAATCGTAAAACGCTGCTATGAGTTCAGAATGTGTGTGTGTGTATTTATATGTATATTCTGTCACGGTGTAGTTTATTCATGAGGAGTAATAGGATTTTGATAGTCGCCGGAAAGACGGTGTAAAAAAAAAAAAAATCTAGTCACCGTAATAGTGTAAATTTGTTTAAGAAATGCAAATCTCTTTTGATAACCCCGGCAATGTTTATGCAGTCGGTGTTATTTTAAATTTACATTAATGATTACTGAAAAGGGGGCCGTTATTTTTACAACGAGCCGGATTTCCATGGAGAGTAAGGGCATTTTTTTTTTTAGTTGTATCGAAAAGGCTACAGTGTTTTACTTTTACTTTGAGATGAATTTTTTTTTTAGTTTTCACGATATACGGGTTTACATAGAAGTGCACGGTAAAGAAGCATAATGAGTTGGCCATTTCTGAAAGACTCACTCCGAATGGTATATTTCAAGCACAGTCATTCACCATTTCAACGAAACTATAAAGACTTATGCGAATTAATCATTTGCCCGTGTTGGCATTATATTTCTTTTTGTTTTTCTAATATATTTGCTTAATTTTGTGGTAACGAATTTCCCGTGTTTTTGTTATTGTGATGTTTTACTGTAAATATAGGCATATTGTGATATGGATTATTTTTTTTACATTTTCTCACGCTCTACTTGATTTAATTGTTGACGTTTGTAAAAAAAATTTGCAATCTGTAAACAGTAGCATTTAAGTACTATAGTATACATACTACTTTTCTATAACTAATGCCCGAACTCTGTAAGCTAGTAATGTTATACAATCAAAATATCTCTACTACTTTGGTCGCAGTACTAAAACGTGATTGTTTTTGTTTAATATTAGATTTTATTGTTTTAATAAAAAATAAAAAATTGTTCATCCGTTTTGTTTTTGTTTTAACTAGATCCCATATGGTATTATACCTTGTGGTGACGACTGGCTATCGTTTGTCGGGCGTTATATTATTACTTTATGCGGTAAACCACAATCGGTTCAACGGTAATATAATGAAGTTGTCCGATTTTTCATTTTCAACGTTTTCGCATATACCTCATTTGTTTAAAAAGAATCGAGACCAAGTTCGAATTCGATTTTCCAGGCTATTGCGTTTTTGGGGGAAATTAATTTCCTCGAAAAATAAGTTTTTTCGATTTCAGAAATAAATCTAGTGAAAAAAAGGCATTAATATTCTGTTACAGCTAGGAAAAATATTTAAGTACATCATAATATTCTTAAACGTTAGACGTTTGATTTTCTGTTTTCTTAGAAATGTTCACTAATGAAGAATTGCCATGATATGAACCGTTCGTGATGTCAATATATATATTTTTTTAAATCGTTCATAAAAATATTACAGGTGTTCAAATTGATGTCGGATCGAGAGTTTCCAATTTGTTCGGTTTTATCAAACGTACAATGGAAAGTGTAATATCCATTCAGCGTGATTTTATTACACCCTGTACCGCAGTATAGTTGTATTAATTAATAAGAATCCGAGGAATTACTTTTACTCGACCGATTGTGACTAATTAACATTTTCGTTTTTATTTAAATTTGCCGTAATTGAAGAGTGTAAGTGGTTTGGTTACAAGTTACAACTGGTTTTCCGTCTACGCCGCGTTGCTTTCTTTATATGTACTAAAAACTCGATATTAATATATATTTTATGATTCCCGTGTATCTGCCAGCAGATTATGAATCCACCTGTACCGTATAGAAATATGATTGTTAATTGAGAAAACACACGGGTCGTTCTTGAATAGTTTTAGTTTTTCCACTTTAACCGGAGACGAGGCGTTACATATTATATTAGTTATTCGTGTGATCTTAATCGACGTAGACCGACCCGAGGTCTTTATTGAGGATTGATTCTTAAATTGTGCACGCACCGCACATTAGCGCTGTTTAAAGAGCCGTGAACTCCGACCCGTAGGTACTCGAGCCGAACGATTAAAAGTTGCACGAGCTAAAGTTTACCGTTAATTTTATGTGACAAACATGACCGTGCAACATTACAGGGATAACGATATCGATGTAGATACCTATATATTATGTTAAACTAACCGCTTGCAACGGCCGCTGTGCGTTAAACGCGTTCAATATTGTCATCGTGGAGCAGAACGACGATTCAGTGACTTGATACCGCGAACCTCAAACCGAGTGATGATTTAGCGGGCACCTAAAAAAAAAAATTAAATTAATTAAAAAATCCGCCGTCGTTACAATGTAGGAAGACCATAAAGACTATATAGACTATATAGGTGGTGCAAAAATACGATTCACGACACTTTAGCTGGACACCGTACACGTATGCTGTTTAATAATAATAATAATGTTTACATTATTATATGTTGTATTGTCTTGGCTCTTCACAGGTCGATTAGACACGGATTTCGGTCGTCTCGCCTCTGTCGCCGCGTTATACATGTACAAGACCGCGCGTGATGTCACCGTGACCAATCGGAAATGGGAAAAATCGTGTGCGTTTTCTTTTCACGTTTGAACTGTTGAGCGAAAGACAAAAACAAAACACCAGCCGAAATATTCAATTACGTGGCGTGGCCCGATCGCGTGGATATTTACAAACTTAAGCGAATTCATTAACCCGAAAAACGTTGTACGGGTATAAGTTTTGCCGTGTACAGTCGACCGTTGGGCGCACTTTCTGGGGCACACACCGAGAGCGACTTTTAATTAATTCGAGTTTGCGAATCGCAATCCAAAATCAATTTGCATATATTATATATTATCGCATTGGCATGGCGTAAAGTTCATATAAATTAGAGAAAGCGCCGCCCTGTCGCATCGTGTCGACGGCGTGCTGTATAGTATGTATAATAATAATAAGAAGTACCTATAGGATATCCCACAGTGTATGAGGAGCGAGTTAGGTCCGGCGTGTCTACCGACGCGTTCACTACGCGTAGATTTGTTAAAATATCCACTCTGGGTAGGGTAGTCAGAAATAACTGGTTTTAACGTTCGAGTTGAAAGAAAACACCATAACTTAAATCCCAATTACACGGAAGATTAGAATAAAAGAAAATTCAAAAATATATACATCTACTCATTGCGTTGTCTTAACTCTTAACGGAATGCAAATAGTGTTAATAATTTGTTCACATAATATTAGCTGCATCTCATGTATGCTCATAAACGCTTAATTGTTGTTCGTATATATTATATACGAACGGTAACATATAAATGTTGGCTTCAACGTTATTATTTCCGTTGTACCATTGAAGTCACATGACTGGCAAGTTATAATAGGACACAGGACAATGATCGTTGGGTCACGCATTACTGTTAGCCAAACCGAATATATTCAACCAGTTCATCTGTCTCAACTGACCCAAGATGACCGTTTGTCATCTAACAAAAAAAAAATTTAAATCTAAAGAAATTGGTTGGTTAAGTGTTAAAGTCTACAGAGATAATATAATATAAATCGACAGTCATAAAATAATATATGATACTGCAACAAAATTGTTTCGGAAGGGTTTTGTCTAACACGCGTGCATAATAATATAATATTATATTATAACATAAATGCATATAGTTTTTTTTCTTTAATTTTACTTACAATGGATGTTTTAATGTTATGCTCTAGCACAAGTCACATACTATTGCGGTATGCGGTTTTCTTATCGTATGAGCGT